AAAGCAGGATGGAAAGAATCGAGCGAAGAAATTTCTTTTCAATTATTTTTTCATCATGGCCCCACACTAATATATATATATATATATATATATATATATATATATATGATTTGCAATTATGAGGTTATAATCATCGAGTGGATACGTTACGTGATAATTGCATAATGATATTTAGATTATAAATTAGGATTGAATAATTGGAAGGGGATTAATAATAATCAAAGTAATTATTCGAAAATCAAAAAGTTGCTAATTTAAAAGAAATTTCTACGTTCGATTCATCCCTTCTTTATTAACCAAATGTCAAAATGAGAATTTTCACTTTATTGAAAGCAGAATGGACTGTGGTTACATATTTTTGTTTTTTCGAGTTGTGGGATTTTGGCAGATGCATCCATTTTGTCTGCAGTGTAGTCATAAAATAAAACAAGCACCGCCTGTACTTGTTGGGTAAGCTTAGACTAAAAGAGCATAACGAAACAAAACATGTCCAGAAACACGTAAAATTGTCGCGATATATAAAAATTAAAATTAATCAATGATTTATGAAATTCGATAAGGGATCAGACTCACATTTTGCAAGTCGGTGTACCAGGTCACGTCGGCTAACCAATCATGATGCTACAGGTATTTGGATTTTGACAATGCTTTAACCAGTAGTCTTTTCTAATACGAATCGTATCCACCTAGTGAAATCAAAAGTCAGAGGCGAGGAGGTTAGAAGATATATTTGATGGCCTATCATCGAATAGAGAAGCGACTGATCTACGCTGATTAGCGGTTGTGGGAGATGTGAGCACATCCTGTTTACTCGTGATCTGTCGCGGATGCGTTATTTAGCGTCTTCAGCTGGGTGAGTCCACTGAAACCAATGCGGTCAGCATGGAATGTTTAAGACTTACAGATCTACTGATTTCGGAGATTTATTTACCAATAAAATGGGTTTGAATACAATCTTCTGGTACAATGAACACAATAAATGTCCGTAGACTTCGTTATTAGTACTGCTGTAATATTAGCCCTAATCATAAAACTGGAAATTTGTCATGATGCGACTACCTAATCTATGGGATCTATCGTGGAAGCCATATCATTATCTACACTGACTCGTCCTATTTCTGGAGAACACATTTAGGCTGGAGATATTTAACATGAGTAAAAGAGACAGGTTACTCAAGTCTAACCACGCCTGCAAGGCTGAGCCATACCATCCGACTGAATTTAATTAATTCTTCTCGTGCCCTCCATAGTTTATCTTTTTTGTGTCAATTTTTGAATATAAATCTCCTCAGTAATTAAATGCTCGGCTTCAAAGGTCATGTGGTTAGGGTCCTACGCCATTACAAGTCAGTTACTTGAAAATATCAAATGCAAATTTATCAACAAGTAACTTAAAAATTGTGATCAAGTCACCTCTGGTTTTCCTACACGGCAATGAAAGTAGGTTTAGTCTAGCCTGTCGAGCATCAAACGAGAGCTTTATTGTTCCGGGTATCAGCTCAGTTTTGGCTCCTTGAACTAGTTCCAGCAGCTCACTATTTCATTTTAGGTAGGGACTAGCCACCTGTATGCAGCACTTGAGTTAGGACGCACGAATACTGTATACAAAGTCAGGAAGCATCGATATAACTTAATGCTTTACGTAGTGACCATAACGTTTTAAAACTTTTAGCGGTTGTCACACGGCAGTATGTAATAGATTTTAAGTCAGTGCTAACGATGACTTCTAAGTCATTATGTGTCTGGATAACAAGTAGATTAATGTATGTAGTTTGACGACTACCATGCATCGTAATGCGCTTGAAAGCATTTATTCGCAACTGCCAAATGCTAAACCAGTCGAACTATCACCTTTACTGTTTATTGCTTGTTATATATTGACATTGAAGATGTCACAGGTATTTGGGGTTTGACAACGCTTCACCGAGTAACACCTTCTAATATGAATCGCACCCACCAAGTGAAGCGAGGAGGTTCGAAGATATATTTGATAGGCTATCAATATGTTGAGGATCGTCTGATATAATCTGGCGAGCGATTGCAGCAGATGTTAAGCACGGCGTTTCCACTCGTGGTCTAGTGCGGATGCATGACCGAGCGCCTTCAGCTAGATGAGTCCACTAAAACTAATGTGGTCAGCATCCAATGTGGAAAACTTACAGCGCTATTTATTTTGGGGATTTATTTACCACTTCAACATCGTCAGAATATCGTGTCTGTAAGTTATGGAATACACTATCAGAACATATAATGATGAGATCTACCGAATGTTCCAACAGAAGGCTCAATGATTACTTTAGTTCTGTAGGTACTAATTGGGATTTTTCTAGGTGTTGAATGTGTCAGCTCTACAAGACTATCTACAACAGGTGGATTGGGATTTTCACCCCCAACTTGATGTGGGTGCTCATTGGAAATTCCTACTGCACACGCTCTTATGTGCTACAAAGCAGTCAGTCCCTCAATCGGTCCCCAAAAGTGACATACAACCTACAATCATCAAAAACCTCACTCTTCGTTTATTAAACCGTAAAAGACACTGTTAGGCAGAATACAAACGAACCTACAACAACAGTGAGTACAGGCAATACAAACATGTAAGGAACATATGTACGAAGGGTATAAGAGAAGACAGGCTCCAGTACCAGTTGAAGCTTATGGATAAATTTATTTCCAATCCGAAAAGCTTATTCCGTTACGTAGCCTCTCTTCGTCAAGCCAAAACTGGGGTTTCTCAACTGCTAGGTCCTAATGGTCCGACCGATAATGACGGTGACGCCGCTAACCTCCTGGCTGAGCAATACTCCAGGACATTTCAACCGACCCACATCAACTATACGGATGATGGCTTCATCTGCAACTGCACAGGACATTCCGTAGTGAAATTGAGCGCTGACTTGGTGCTCCGAAAAATACATCACCTAAGAACAGACACTTCTCCTGGTCCAGATATGGTTCACTCTGCTATACTGAGGGAAGCAGCTTCAATCCTGGCAACACCGCTCAGCGTGATGTTCTCACACTCGCTAAGTCGAGGCAAACTACCAGATAATTGGAAGCTGACTCATATCACAACAATCTTCAAAGGAGGTCGACGCAGCGAACCTTCAAGTTACCGACCGGTGGTTCTTCTCTCTATACCTTCAAAAATCATGGATTTCCTGATAAACGATGGTATACACGACTATCTGCTGTCCTTGAATTTCTTCTCACCCCAACAGCATGGTTTCAGGAAGGGTTACTCCTGTATGACGAACCTGCTGACTGCGGTGGACAGATGGACAAGCATCGTTGATCGCAAGGGGAAGGTGGACATCATTTACCTTGATTTCTCTAAAGCTTTTGATAGGGTTAACCACATCTGTCTTATCAACAAGCTCAGGCAACTGGGTATCAAACCACCTTTAATTGACTGGCTCAGTTCATATCTGACGAATCGACATTTTAAGGTCAGCGTAAACTTTAATTTCTCAAAGGCTATGGAATGTCCTTGTTGGGTCCCCCAGGGCTCAGTACGAGGACCTCTCCTCTCCCTGATTTATATAAATGATCTCCCTCAACAGGTAACGTCAGACTTATTGCTCTTTGCCGATGACGTGAAGCTTTGGAGAGAGATACTCAACCAAGAGGATATACAGGCACTTCAGGAGGATCTGACTCAACTTCAAAGTTGGGCAGACGACAACGGACTTACCTTTAACACCTCAAAGTGTAAAGTAGTCCATCTGCGACACGTCGCAGATTACAGTTACAACTTAGGAAACTCCTCTCTAGTAGTATCCCTAGTCGAAAAAGATTTAGGAGTTCTGGTGCCCTACGACTTAAAGTCTTACGCCAACTGTGACAGAAATGCCTTTCGAGCAAACCTTGCACTGGTAACATTGAAGCGCATTTTTGGTTAGTTTGACGGGAAAACTTTCCACATAATCTTCAATAGTTTCATTCGTCCCCACTTAGAGTACGGAAACATAGTATTCCCTCCCGCACTCCAAAAGGACAAGGACACTCTGGAGTGTATCCAACGGCGAGCCACGAAATCAGTTCGGGGACTCAAACTTAAACCTTACGATGAACACCTACAATCACTCGACCTTTACCCATTAGAGTATAGGCGTCTTAGAGGTGACCTTCTAATGGCTTACAGTATCCTTAACACTTCTGGACATCCTCTTAAACACCTACTTAAGCTTAGTCCCAACACTAACCTAAGGGGTAAAACCCAGAAATTAGAGATACAACATAGTAGAACGGACTGTAGACACAACTTCTACTCCTTAAGAGTTGTCAAATGCTGGAATTCGCTGCCGGCTGAGCTAGTCCAAGCAACTTCCCAGGAGTCCTTCGAAAGGCTACTTGATCTATTCTTAAGGACTAAGGATAGTATCTTACTATGATTTACCAATTCATTGTTTTTTCTCTTTTATCGTTAATATACCTAGGTTCTTGCCTAGAGGCATTGGTGTTCCCCTGCTACTAGACACGGAAGCCTGTTAAGCGAAAGCTTCTTCTATTCCGTCCACAACCGTTTGAACCATTTGAACCATTTATACTCCCACCACTTTCATTATTATTTACTTCATTTTATTTGCAGGAGGAATTAAACCAGGACTATGCCTCTCCATAAAAGAGAACTCTGTTCTAATAACCGAATGCAAATTCAAAGAGATAAATAATGCACTGTTTCTATCATGCAAATGCTTAAGGTCGCGAGAACAAACCCTGATTTGAAATTGTGCGTTACGGCTTCGTGGTTTTTAACGGTTTCGAAATCACATACTAGAACTTATAGTTTTGGTTGTCTTAATCTCACACACTTGTTGCTACAAATTGTTATGAACTACTTACACTAGCCAATGTAAGTACACTCTGGACCTATCGAGTCTTCGGTTCACATTTTCACTTGGTTTCCTACCAAGCTTTCCAAACACACTTCTACAAACGCTCTCTCAAGACCCAAACTTCCTTCAGATCAAATAAAAAAATCTACTGCCTTTTGAAACATGAGCAGAAATACGTTAGTCATCCCCTTTCTTCATATCATTTATTTTGCAATAGGCTAAGTTGTCTGTCTTGTTATAAACGCCGCCGTAAATGTACAAAAAGTAGTGGCTCAGACTATGTTAACTGTGTAAACAAGCAAACTCCAAACAATACTAGACAGGCTGACCAAGATGGAAGTGCTAAGGAGACCTTATCACTGTCAACCATTAGCCACACTCCGGGTGCTGGAGACGGGGGTTCAGCTAGTTTAGGCGACTGGTCTACGGTTCACCAACTAGATGGAATTGATGCTTCTAAAGTGAATTTATTATGTGAGGGCAGCAGCAACAATACGTCATCTGTATTAGGCGTTCTCAACAGGGTTGAGTTCTGTGATCGTTTAGAATCCATAGTTCTTCGGCTTGAAAGGATAGCGCAAACAATAACACCAGGTAAGTCCTACGTCGATTTGTTCATTACATAGAAAAAACTCCTGGACTGGTTGCTTTTGAACTGATTATTGCTAATAGCCTTAAAAACTATATCGCATGTAGTAGAAAGTTGGGAGGAAACATACAATCTCAGGTAAATACAATCCATTGTCTATTTTTAGTCATTATGTGTTCAAAACGCCTTCGGCTTCGTCAGGGATCTCATTGAACTATCCAACATTTATAGCAAACCAACTGAAGTGGATATGGATATTCACTTAAAGCCTCTTCATTTTAAGATGATTGAAATAGCAGTACGTTAATTCTCCGTAGTAACTTAAATGAAGTCAAGAACTTCAGGGTTGGAGCTATGTCTGTACGGAAGTGTCAGTTATCAACCATTGCAGATTCGGTCCTTATACTGAATTGGGTTGGATCTGTAAGTCTACAGATTCGTAATATAACAAATCTTAGTCTTCAGCATCGCAGTACGTTAAAGAATTGAAGGACTCAACATGGTTGAACGCTAATAAAGTCTTTCAGTATTGTCGTGAGAGGTAAGTTATCTTCTGGCATAAAAGCACGAATACTATTATTAGCCAGATGCGGCAATGTTCGCTCTGTGGATTCCTTACTGTTTGCTCCTAAATGTCTAAGGATTACTTCATGTAACTAAGTGATTGACTCGAAATAGGTTATTGGATATCACATCTGAAAAGCTTTAAACTAGAGAGTACGTACTTACTCTTCTTTTATCAAAGCACACTTTCGCATCTTATTTCAGTAAGGTAGGTCAAAACTTTAGACTGATTTCGATTCTGATCGTATCAAGGTTCTGTTTGCTGTCCTTGTCTTCATACTAAGCACTTCGATATTGTGTATGCCTACGTACTTAGAATTCGTCAAATGTGTTAATAGTAAAGATTTCACTAGAGGAAAGTTTGTTTCATGTAGGTTAACTTTTGAAACTTGTTATAGTGTTATTCAGATGTCGTTAGTTAGTATTCATATATAGTGGTAATGAATATTTATACAATTCCAACGAGTTGATTTCATGAATTAAAATCGAAAAGCAGTTGTACAATAAATAACAGCCAATAACTATTCAATTATCTCTGTAAGGCGATTATTTTGCACTGACTAGTATTTCCCGGTCTAGCGGAACTGATGTAAGTTAGCTTACTCAGGTAGTCAGAGTTCTTGGACTGAAAAGTCACCAACTTATATTTATACCATAATCTGTCCGGCCCTATTTAGGAATGTTTGTCTACTATTGCTTTTTCTTTCAGTCAGTCAAGCCTATCGGAAAGATGTGTTGTGTACGATACCAAATGTAGGATATATGCATTTTATCACTTTTTCCAAACGAGAAAGTAGTTTTTGCTCAGTTTACATGTCCTTTTTACTGTGATTTTTCTACATAGCCTTCCTGAACATGTTGAATGGTTACGCTCATGGCTTTCTTGTCTGGATGAATTGTGCGTAGTCGTTGGAGAGCATTTTCCATACGGTCTAAAATGGAATAAAAGTGGTCCCAAACTACCCTTACCAACTGTCGAAATACGCCCAGTTCAGTCTTTACAAGAGGGTCGTACCAATACACGTGAAAGAACTTCAACAAAGGTAACAAAGTATTTTTATGTTGCACGGACTGTCAGTTTTGCTACTTGACATATCTCCAATTTTTATTACTCTGTAGATATTTCAACGATCAACTCTGTTATTATCCTGGTATAAAAAACGACAATAAGAATTAAAACACTAATCAATCTTACTTTGGTCAAAATACTTTCATTTCCACATAAAGTATCTATTTGTTGAACTGTTTAGACTGAAGCCTTTTAGATTTATTGTTTGTTAAATGATAAGGTCTGTGTAGTTAATTTAGCTTCATGATTCAGATGAATACTTCAAAAAGTAACTGCCACAAATGGCTCCGTCTAACCTCAGAAAAAAGTATTGAACCATAGGTAGATTAACTAAAAGGAGCAGAACAGCCTATTAAAGCATCAACTCTAGCCGTTTCCTCGAATTCGCATATTTTCTTATCCTTAAATATTCAGGTTACCTTTCGCTTCAAATTGATGTATGATGAGTAGTTTTTTTCAGATGGACATGTTTTAGTTATCTGTACTAAAAAATACAGAGTGCTTATGTTCATATGACAATTAGATTTTGCAATTAGGTACGAAATGATGTAACAGAAACTTTAGTGATACTTGACACTTTATATACTGTTTGTAATCTCACGATCCAGATATTAAAATAGATCTTTGAAAAGGATAGAAGTGGTCAATTGTTCTGTGTGACGAAAGGGTTAATATTACCAAGATTTCTAGTCTTACAATTCTGTGAGAATTCATTAAGGCCCAGCAAATTTATTATACCTCGAAGTTAGGTGTCATAATCTGTTAAAAACATTGGTCGACGGGTTTTCAACAAAAGTTTTGCTATCAAGTTAAGTAGTTAAAATGATAAGGACATTTCAGCTGTAAGATGATAATGCATCACAAAGAACTAATTGGAAAGGTAGAATGAAACATTAAAAGAGCGGCTTTTGTATCGTAAAAACTTCATCTCAAACGAAAATTTAATGTTTATACAAGTGTACTATGTACAAATAAAATGAAATGACAATAATTACAGAGATTACTATCAATTAATAATTTGTCATATCCCAGTGAGTAGAAAAATTAAGTTTTCTGACGTTTCGTGACTTAATGCAAGCCACTTCTTCAGAGGACAAATAAATAACCAAATTAAAATAATCCAAGTTTAAATAGTACAACGAAACAACAGGAATATTATCTGTTTATAACAATCTACGCAATGCTCAATTTATTTGAAATTATCAAGTCAAACCCTGGTAATGATGCCTACAAACTAAAATTACTGTTCTTTCTCCAATTAAAATCCAGACGACTCACTTTCATTTGATAAAATTCATTTTTATTTTTATTTTTTTGTGTGCTACGTCACTTATCTACTCTCTTTTATTCCCACTTTGTGTATTATTATTTTTCAACTTATACGGCAGCGCGCCTATAGTGGAAACCCTGTTCTCTCTAAACGATCTCGAATCATTGACTGGTCGAAAGTTGAATGCTACCATCGAATACGATTACTGAAACAACCTTTCTGAAGTCACATATACCATTTAAACTGGCTTCCTTCAACGTTCGCACACTAGTACAGATCGGACAACAGATTGGGTTGGCTATGCCCTTAGAAAGTTTTAATATCGATGTCTGTTGTCTATCCGAGACCCGTATTCAAGACTAGTGAAGTACTACAAAATCGCGTTCCATCTGTCGCTTCTTAAAGCTTGTTTTACGTGCGTTTATCCGGCGCCCAAGTGGCATCTTCGTCTGGTTTTTCTGGCATTGGTATCGCACAAAGCGCTAGAACTGAGGCAGCACTGATCTATTAGATCACCATTCACAGTTGGTTATGTGCTGTTAGATTAGAAAGTTCCATCAAAGTGAGAAGAAATCGGCGTGAGGAACGATGTCTTTTCGTCGCCTCCGCCTATGCCCCGACAGATTGCAGCCCGGATGCAATCAAGGATGAATTCTACCACCAGTCAACTGTTCTTCTCCAGAAATTATTTATTTATTATTTTATTTTAACACATAGGTATCGGTACAAGAAGGCAACAAATACATATGCGCCACACAGATATCAATTGATTTGTGTGAGGGCTGTGATACTGCCCGGGTGCCCAAACCGAAGCAGGTGGTTTTCTTAAGGGGCCACTACCCCAGCCTTTGACCTGAAGATCTGATCCACAAGACAGTGGAGCATCGTAAGGAGATGCAGTCCCATGGTAGCCGGTGACCAACGATTGGTTCATACGCTGTTTGTTCCTTCAGGATACTGGAGCCCATGTGCACCATTGGTTTGGGACCCGGTTAAAGCGCCGGACATTCGCTTTTCGTCCTCTCATTTTCATAGACAACACCCTCGCCACGAGAAGGCAGTGGGTAGGACTTCCCTGGTAGTGGCTATATACACGTGGCCATGTGAGGGCATTTCGAGAGGGAGAACGGACTCTTCCCACTCGGCCATACCAGGGCATTTGGGGGCTCTCCAGAAATTGCGTTCGACAGACATTGTAGTACTAGCCGGAGACTTGAATGCTCAGGTCGGGCGTCTAAGCACAGAAAAGAGTCGTTTAGGTGACAAACAGCGTATGAACCAATCGTTGGTCACCGGCTACCATGGGACTGCATCTTCTTACGATGCTCCACTGTCTTGTGGATCAGATCTTCAGGTCAAAGGCTGGGGTAGTGGCCCCTTAAGAAAACCACCTGCTTCGGTTTGGGCACCCGGGCAGTATCACAGCCCTCACACAAATCAATTGATATCTGTGTGGCGCATATGTATTTGTTGCCTTCTTGTACCGATATCTATGTGTTAAAATAAAAAAAATAATAATAATAACTCATCCGAGCCACTGGCAACAAGAAGTCTAGTATGAGCGAAACAATCTGCGAGGATGACGGAATGCCAATCACTAACATCCATCGACGTCTTGGACGATGGGCAGAATTTTTTGAAAGGCAGTTCAACTGGCCTGTTGCTCCGGCAACATCGGTCAAACTGTCCTGCTCTCCATGGCCGGTGACGACTGATCCACCAAATGAGGCGGAAGTCCGCAAGGAACTCCAACTCTTGAAACGTTACAAATCACCGGGCCCAGACGACTTACCTCCGGCTCTTTTTAAAGATGGTGGTGACTTTCTTACTAATTAACTGATGACGTTGTTTACAAAGGTCTGGGAACTAGAGAGTGTACCAACGTCATGGAATGAGTTGATAGTTGTCCGTATCTTTAAAAAGGGTTCACGTCGTTCCTGTAACAACTATCGGGGGATAAGTCTACTTCCGATTGCGTCCAAGCTATTGGCTTCCGTTATACTTCGTAGGTTGCTCAAAACCCGAGAAGGATTGACTCGCGAGGATCAGGCTGAGTTTCGTTCTGATCGAGGATGTATTGATCATATCTTCACCCTCCGCCAAATGTTAGAACACCGCCATACTTATCAAAGGCTAACAATCGTAGTGTTCCTTGACATCAGGGCTGCCTTCGATTCGTTGGACAGGACTGTTCTCTGGGACTGTCTATTGAAGAAGCGTGTGCCTGAGAAGTTTATTAACATCCTAAAGGCCCCATGTACAAACACTTCAGGCAGAGTGAGGGCATACAACCACCTTTCTCCACTATTCCATTCGAGCAGTGGGGTTAGGCAGGGTTGCCCAATCTCACCATTCCTCTTCAACTTTGCCATCGATGACATTCTGGAAACAGCTCTGATGGATGTAAGTAATGGTGGTGTGGATCTGTTGCCTGGAGAAAGACTTCTCGACCTTGAGTATGCGGATGATGTTGTCTTACTGTGCGAGAATGCCCAAGCTATGCAATCCGCACTTAATCAGTTGGCAATCAGTGTCCGTAGGTACGATATGTGTTTCGCACCTTCTAATTGCAAAGTACTTCTACAAGACTGGCAGGATTCTAATCCTGTACTCACTCTGGATGGTGAGCAGATTGAAGTAGTCGAGAAGTTCGTGTAACTAGGTAGCTGCATAAGTGCTGGTGGTGGTGTGAGTGATGAGATCAATGCACGTATAGTGAAAGCCAGAGCGGCTTATGCCAATCTGGGCCATCTTTGGCGCCTTCGTGATGTTAGTCTGGCTGTAAAAGGTCGGATCTACAACGCGACGGTGAGAGCAGTTTTGCTCTATGCTTGTGAAACCTGGCCTCTCCGAGTTGAGGATGTTAGACGACTCTCTGTGTTCGATCATCGTTGTCTCCGAAGGATCGCCGACATCCCCTGTTTCTCACTAGCATTAACTACGGGTACAATCATCGCCAATATGCCATTTGGCGCCCTTCCTCTGTATCTCACGCCTGGAATCAGATTATTCACATCTCGACCAGCTACCGCTAGCGTGGTTGTGTATAAGATTGCCGCTCCTTTTGGAGTACCTATCTAAACTCTGATCATGCCCTTGTTTGCGCTAATCTTATCTTACTTTTCGGTGACCAACAAATTGACCTATACGGATCGATGTCAGTAATTTGATTCCAGCTTCTGTTGCAACTAAATATCAAGTCGACCTGGCCCAAGGCTAGCTAACATCCTACCGAAAAGTATATATGAGCATTGGCTGTAATTGCACGACGCCATGAAAATGGCGAGTAAAGTCGCTTGCGGCCTCGCGAAACGTCCCGCTTATGAGCACTGGGTTTCTTCAGGTTCCTTACAACTCAGTGAAGCCCGTCGGTCTACTCCGGGTGACCGTGAGTTTGACCACAAACGAAAACTGTTACCTAGTGAAATTGGGCAAAACTTGCGTAAGGACCAAAAAGCCTGGTGGCCGGTGCGTGCCAATGAGTTGGAAGCAGCAGTTGCATCTGGTAACTGCCGAAAGCTCTTTCAACTTATCCAATCCACTGAGAGCAGAAAGTCTGGCGTGGGCGAGACAATCTGTGAAGATGACGGGATCCTAATCACTAACATCTATGGACTCCTTGGACGATGGATAGAGTTTTTCGAGGGACAGTCCAACTGGTCTCCTGCCCTCTTCTGGAGGTTTGTGTGGAATATTACGTTCCTGTTCAACCGTGTTCTGATTTGACCACTAGTTAAGTAAAATGTCCGAAGAATGCTATGCGATAAGAGTATTTGGGTCGTAATAAAAGAGATCATAACAAGTACTGACGCCCAAATTATATTGTCAATTAGCTATACACTTTATTTTTGTGAATAATCTGCTGAACATTTGGTCCTTTTTATTTATTGGTTACTATGCTTATTGGTGTTTAGTAGCTAGTTAGCTTGATAATTGGTTAATGTTTTGTTTCTTTCAGTCAGATTTTTGTATCCGTATATTTCTATGATGTGTTTCATTGGATTTCTATGTATATGTATGAAAAATGACAAGACAAACTAAAAATAGGCAAGCTGTTAATGTAAAAGTGGTTTTCACTAGGTGGATAGAAACGAATCGCTTTTTTTAAATTGACAAGTTAAAATTTGTGTTTGAGTTATCAGCATACTTTCTTGAAGTTCGGCTATATACGTCCTGGTTTCCTAACAATTTGAATCCTGTCTAATGGCACAACTACTTTAGATCAAATTATTTAGCGGACTTTTTAGAGTGTATACAGCAGCAGGCAAATGCTCTCTCAGAATTCAAGATTTTATGGTAAACCAGGGTTCACCATTTATGAAGCACTAATTTATTTGATCTAAATATTTGGAGTATTGAAATAAACAAACTTTTCCTAAGTGTTCGAGTTAACAATCCAGGGACTGTTTATAGGTATGCCGTCATCATATGTTTTAAGTGGATTTACTTAAAATGATTCTCCATACTCTTGCTCGTGTTTCGTATACATTCCAGTAGGGGCTTGGATCCAATAAATTTTGTCTCTGTCGGTTTACAAGGCTATCTTCTGAATTAAAATATTTGTGCTCAAACCTTTAACTCTGATGTCAATAATACCAGCTCAGTGACATTTTCACACATATACAAGGAAATAAGATGGTTATTTTTGTGTATGCGATTACTTGCACGTGTAATTCCTTATTGTAATCAAGCTTGGACATCTTTGTTTTGTTATAACCTGCATAACCGATTCAATGATGTTGGTAACGAATTTATTACAAAAAATAATACTCCGTGGTTGAATGATCGATCTCAAATGAGTTATACATAGTTAAGAGGTGTCATCCTTGTTTCTATTAGGTTATTTTATTTGAGTGTTTTAATTCTTGTATTTTATTACTTCAGGGTTTTCATCCCAAATTATCAGTACAATCACAACCGGATCCAGTCGATGTCACTAAGTTGTTTTCTGAATTAGCAAGTGCTCATAAAAATTTACGTCATATCAGTGTACCTGATATACTCTGATAATGAGGACTCTAGTGAATACACCTTAAAAATATATGCAAATCAGTTGATCCAAATATGATAGTTACAGTAAGTAGTGTTAGTTGTTAATATTAAACGATATTGTTTTGCTAATTTCATGCTATCTTAATTCTCATGGCTTTTGTATTTAAAGACATCGGAAAACATTCTACGTATCGAAATTTTAGGAAGATTATTAGAGATTTGTAGCTCATTATTTTGATTTTGAGAAATACACAGACAAAGACAAAAGTTGGCAACAACTAATCAGAACCAAGGTAAACATATTAAGCTGTTAAATCATATGAGGAGAAATTTAAGTCGCTGACCTCAGTCTGAATTTTATGCTGAAAAGAAAGTGAAAGCTTCACTACTAAACCGCTCAACTCCGATAACTCAATAGTATAAAAGTCATCTAGACTCCTTAGCTCTTTGTTCTTCTAATTTACTCTCACTATAATGTTATTATTTGTGACAAAGTGAACTGACGCACTTTTATCCTGCGTCCTCAGTCAGTCAGTCAGTCAGTCAGCTGCAACGTAGGACCAGGCACGTATATGCATCGGTCCAAGTTGCCATACCGCATTAGCACAACAAGATGAACACCGGATTCATAGGAGTAGTTAATTCAGTGGTGGTAATATATAGAAGAAAGATTGTGTATAAGGAGATAGTACAGGAAAAAAGAATTAGTTCCTAGAAAGAAAGATTTGAAGTGATTTTAATCTCTTAGTTTAAAGGAAGACAGAGAGTGTATACACCGACGCCATTGTGATCGATTCTGAGCCATGTCACCAAGAGTCTCCAACCATCGGTTACGATAGTCACGCCGACCCCAACCAAGTAGTCTGCATCTACCAACATGGCTCAGACCAGAAGTTAGTGACTTCAAGCACTGATGCCAGGTTTTGGTTTGGCCGCCCCTAACTTTCTTCCAATTGTCCCCTGCACTAGTCAGCATTGCGCATCGTGGTAATCGGTGTTCAGGCATACGTAACACGTGGCCCAACCATCAAGTGATTTACCATCATTCCCTAATACCCTGCGTCTAACCTCACTATTACTTACCCGGTGATCCCAGCAGATACCCGCAATATTTCTAAGGCACCTGTGGTCAAATACTAGTAACTTACGAATATCTTCCACTCTTAAAGGCCATGTTTCGCAGCCGTATAGAAGGACGGAACGAACTGCCGCGCAGTATACTCGTCCCTTAATTGATAGACGGGTATCTCGCCTTCGCCATAGATGACGTAAGTTGGCAAAGGCCAAGCGAGCTTTTCGAATCCGTGCTGAGATTTCGTCAGACACCAACCCATTAGGGCTGATCAGACTTCCAAGATAAGTGAAGTTGTCAACGCGTTCGACTACTTCACCCACTATCCTTAGTTCAGGTGTTGATGCAGACCAGTCCTGAAGCAACAACTTGCATTTAGAGGGAGAAAAGCGCATCCCAAACATTCTGGCATTGTTGCTCAGTGCTACCAAAAGACTCTGTATTTCATCAGCGTCTTCACCAAACAGGACTATGTCATCTGCGTATTCTAAGTCAATAAGTGGACCTCCTGCGTCCTACATTATAAATGAATGACTTGCTACGGATGTAATGCTTGGAACCGTATATTCTTTAGCATAGTGCTTTGTGGTAATGTACATACAGTAGCAGTAAGTTCTTACGTGTGTTAGTAAACTTACATAGCATTTAATCACTTATATATCTCATCACTTGCTGTGGTCATATTCATATATATTTGACATTATTTTCACAGGTCACACATCATTTGACTTCGCAGCCTACAAATTGTGCCTTGTTTCAGGGGGGAAAAGTCTCGTTTTATGTCTGATCTTCTATTGTGTTTTCATATTTACTCGGAAATAACTATACATTTCACTTCATTATATCATGCATTTATACTGTTGCTTGTTTATCCTTTTAATTATATACAGATATTTCTTGTTCTGCTTTTTTTGATTTCTTTCAATTTATCATTAAAATAGGAAAGAAAGGAAAGCAAGAGTTTTAAATTATTCCACTTTTATTGATTTCAAGTAATGTATAATTAGTTTGTTTTTGTGTTTAGAAAACATTCACAAAATTATTAACAACTAATATATATGTTATGTGGTGGATGTGCATGCATTATGCCTGTTTTCTCTTTCGGTCTTACAGATGAATTTCCAAATACCTGTCATCATTTTTTGTGCTAGTAGCTATAGATAGACACAAAAAATGAGTCGTACATGTCAGTATGTCAAGAAAAATAGGAATAGTTAAATACAAGGTGGTTTTCTATGCGATGATGTTTTATGTAATTTAATGAATGATTCTTCATCACGAATTGATTTTATTTGCTGAGAGTAATTTAAAATCAAGGAACATTAGAAAGCTGTTCTGTCGTAGCTTGGAACTCCTAATCAGTGAACATTCATGATTATCCGCATAAGATTCAATTTGACACCGAATTCGTTAGCGAGAGCAATACGCTATCGAGTTCGAAAGTCAATAAATAAATCCATCATAAGAAAACAAATCATTCAGTTTAATTCAACTGTTAAATCGTTGTTCTCCATTTGTAGAACTTTTAGCACAGATTCGAAAAGCTCGTTTGGCTTTTGCCAACTTATATTACCTATGGCGAAGGGACAAGTATTTTGCGCGGCATTTTGTTCTGTTTTACTTTACGGCTGCAAAACGTGGCCATTAATAGTAGAAGATATTTGTAAGCTACTAGTATTTGATCACAGATGCTTTCGAAATATTGCTGGCATCTGCTGCGATCACCTAGTAATAGTGAGGTTAGACGCAGGGTATTATAGAATGATGGTAAATCAGTTGATGAGGTTGTGAATCTTGATCGACTGAGATGGTTGGGCCACGTGTTACGTATGCCTGAACACCGTTTACCACGACACACAATGCTGTCTAGTGTTGGGTATGGTTGGAAAAAGGTTAGGGGCGGCCAAACCAAAACGTGGCATCAGTGCTTGAAGTCACTAACTTCTGGTCTGAGCCATGTTGGTGGATACAGACTACTTGATTGGCGTCTGTGTGACTATCGTAACCAATGGTTGGAGACTCTTGGTGACATGGCTCACAATCGATCACAATGGACTAGGTGTACACACTATCCGTCTTCTGTTAAACGGTGAGATTAATAATACTTTATACATTTCTTTCTGCCGAATAATCCTTCCTGCACTACATCCTTATATGTAATCTTTTTTTTATATATCACCACCACTGAATTAACTAATATGAATCCGGTGTTCATCTTGTTGTGCTAATGAGGTATGGCAACTTGGACCGATGCATATATGCGCCTGGTCGTACGTTGTAGCCAACTGACTGAGAACTTTTAACATAGTATAGAAATGAGTGGCTACAGTAAAGTCACCGAGTTGTCCACTTTTAATTACTATTTGTTTTAAGTTTGATATCCTACATATTTTAAATTTATTAAATATCTTGTTATTATTTAATAAATACTATTTTCATATCGGAGGGATTTTTTGGATATTATAGTAATTTCAATGGTTGAGATCATGAGTCAATTGAAGCTAGACCACCATGGCTGTCCAGTACTTCCAGGTTTTCCATGGTGGTCTAGTTTCAATTGACTTATGATCTCAACCATTGAAAATATTGTTTTGTTTAATATCAATAATTTTTGAAGATTTCCTTATCGTTAAATTTTCAAAATTCCAATTGACAATTGTAGGTTTATAAACTATTTATTATTGAATTAAATGTATTATCTAAATGAAAGAATTTTAAAAAACAAACCAATTTATATACGTTAGATAATTTTATTTATTTGAACATTCAACTCACATTTACTTTATTTAGATATTATTTACTTTTATGAAGAGTAACTAACTATCTAAAATAATCTGATTTTAATTGAAATCATGAACTGATCAGTGTAAAAAAAACACTTGGAAGCATTGGACGGTAGTCTGACATTGATCAGTTCATTATTTCAATCAAACTCAACAATCTCCACTACCCTATACTGATTTTGTTGAGTATGTTTTCAGTATTTACCAAATAGTTAAAATAAATTTTGTTTTAAATCAACCAATATTATTTTAACGTGCTAAATAATACTATAGTTATTTAACTACAATTATCACACTGTGTGTAACGCATTCGTTTTAAACTTCGTTAATATTAGACATAACCGTAGTGTTTTTTTCAAGTTTGAAAATTAAGCATTATAATAAGCAGATTACCTGAAAAGAAATATTTCTTCACCTTTTCAATAATAATTGTCTGAATGGGTATTTTTATTCTTCTAAAGTTGCTTAAATGACAAAGTTATATTTCTGATTTAGTGATCGAAAAATCTGTTAGTATTCGCCAACACTATATAATAGTATTCTGTTGATCAGAATATTGAACTAGATGTTACAATCTGTATTTCATATATAAAACTTCCACTTTTCATTTAGTTCTATAAATTCAAGGTGATTTTCATCTTAGTGCAATGTTAGAAGTATCAACAACTTCTACTATAAAGAGTGGTTGCATCACAGATGCATTTCGTCTCTCTCTTGCTTTAGATCTTGAGTGTTGAAATCACCTTGTACTTTTTATCCTACTAATCTGTTATTTTTGGGTCATAGTCTTTTCTGTTTTGACATTTATCTTGATAATTTCATCTCACTGTACTAATATACTTCCTTACTCCTATTACTCCTCGCGAAGGAGCATAGGCCGCTCACCAGCATTCTCCACCCAACCCTGTCCTGGGCAATCCTTTCTAGCTCTTTCCAGTTCTTATTCATCCCTTTCATATCTGCTTCAATTTCCCGACGTGATGTGTTCTTTGACCTTCCTCTTTTCCGCTTCCATTCAGAATTCCAAGTTAGCGCTTGTCTCGTGGTGCAGTTTGATGATTCGCGTAATGTATGTCCTATCCATTTCCATCGTCTTTTCCTAATCTCCTCTTCAGCTGGAAGCTGGTTGGTTCTCTCCCACAAAAGGCTGTTTCTGATGGTATTCGGCCAATGGATGTTGAGTATCTTGCGTAGACAGCTATTGATAAATACTTGTACCTTCTTGATGATGGTTGTTGTAGTTCTCCAAGTTTCAGCTCCGTACAGTAGAACTGTCTTGACGCTCGTATTGAAGATTCTGACTTTGATATTGGTTGAAAGTTGTTTTGAGTTCCATATGTTCTTCAATTGAAGGAATGCTGTCCTTGCTTTGCCAATCCTCGCCTTTACTTCTGCATCTGAACCTCCTTGTTTATCGATGATGCTTCCCAGGTATGTGAAGGATTATAGATCTTCCAGAGTTTCGCCATCAAGAGTGATTGGATTGCTGTTCTCCGTGTTGTGTTTGAGGACCTTGGTTTTCCCCTTGTGTGCGTTGAGGCCTACTGATGCAGAGACTGCTGCTACGCTGGCTGTCTTTATCTGCATTTGTTCGTGTGTATGCGATAGGAGGGCTAGGTCATCTGCGAAGTCCAAATCGTCTAATTGGTTCTGAGCTGTCCATTGTATGCCGTGTTTTCCCTCACATGTCGAGGTCTTCAAAATCCAGTCGACCACCAGAGGAAAGAGGAAGGGAGAAAGTAGACAGCATTGTCTGATTCCGGTCCTTACTTGGAATGCGTCTGTCAGCTGTCCTCCATGCACTACTTTGCACTGTAGTCCGTCGTATGAGTTCTTTGGAATCTTGATGAGGTGTCCTTCCTTCCAGTCCATCGGCACTTGTTCTTCTTCCCAAATCTTCTTGAATAGAAGATGAAGCATGCTTGTAGTTACTTCGATGTCTGACTTCAGTGCTTCAGCTGGTATATTGTCGGGTCCTGCTGCTTTCCCGCTCTTGATTTGTCTGATGGCCATTCTGATTTCTTCGGTCGTTGGTGGATTGACATCTATAGGAAGATCTGTGTGTGCTGCTTCGATGTCCGGTGCACTCATTGAAGCCGGCCTATTCAGGAGTTCCTCGAAGTACTCTGCCCATCTGTTGCGCTGTTGTTGAATCTCAGTGATTGGTCTTCCTTCTTTGTCTTTGACTGGTCTCTCTGGTTTACTATATTCCCATGCTAGTTTCTTCGTTGTATCGTAAAGCTATCTCATATTTCCTTCTCTTGCAGCTTTTTCCGCCGTCGTTGCTAGTTCTTCCACGTATTTCTGATTGTCGGCTCTAATGCTCTTCTTCACTTGCTTGTTTGCTTCTATGTACTCAGCTTGTGCTTGGAATTTCGTGCTACTTTGGATAGCATTAGAGCAACTCACTGAGTGTGTGGAGCATTTTCCTCTTTGTGACCGGAGTATAGCAGCATCTCTCCCGTATTTAGCACAAGCAGGACCTGACAATATACCAGCTGAAGCACTGAAGTCAGACATCGAAGTAACTACAAGCATGCTTCATCTTCTATTCAAGAAGATTTGGGAAGAAGAACAAGTGCCGATGGACTGGAAGGAAGGACACCTCATCAAGATTCCAAAGAAAGGAGATCTGAGCAAGTGTGAAAATTACAGAGGCATTACACTACTGTCAGTACCAGGAAAAGTCTTTAACAGAGTGTTGCTGAACCAGATGAAAGAAGCAGTAGATGCTCAATTTCGAGATCAACAAGCTGGATTCCGTAAGGACCGGTCGTGCACAGACCAAATTTCGACACTACGTGTCATCGTCGAACAATCAATTGAGTGGAACTCGTCACTGTACATCAACTTCATTGATTATGAGAAGGCATTTGACAGTGTAGATAGGAGAATGTTATGGAAACTCCTTCGACACTACGGAGTTCCTGAGAAGATTGTCAATGTTATCTGGAACTCATACGACGGACTACAGTGCAAAGTAGTGCATGGAGGACAGCTGACAGACGCATTCCAAGTAAGGACCGGAATCAGACAATGCTGTCTACTTTCTCCCTTCCTCTTTCCTCTGGTGGTCGACTGGATTTTGAAGACCTCGACATGTGAGGGAAAACACGGCATACAATGGACAGCTCAGAACCAATTAGACGATTTGGACTTCGCAGATGACCTAGCCCTCCTATCGCATACACACGAACAAATGCAGATAAAGACAGCCAGCGTAGCAGCAGTCTCTGCATCAGTAGGCCTCAACGCACACAAGGGGAAAACCAAGGTCCTCAAACACAACACGGAGAACAGCAATCCAATCACTCTTGATGGCGAAACTCTGGAAGATCTATAATCCTTCACATACCTGGGAAGCATCATCGATAAACAAGGAGGTTCAGATGCAGAAGTAAAGGCGAGGATTGGCAAAGCAAGGACAGCATTCCTTCAATTGAAGAACATATGGAACTCAAAACAACTTTCAACCAATATCAAAGTCAGAATCTTCAATACGAGCGTCAAGACAGTTCTACTGTACGGAGCTGAAACTTGGAGAACTACAACAACCATCATCAAGAAGGTACAAGTATTTATCAATAGCTGTCTACGCAAGATACTCAACATCCATTGGCCGAATACCATCAGAAACAGCCTTTTGTGGGAGAGAACCAACCAGCTTCCAGCTGAAGAGGAGATTAGGAAAAGACGATGGAAATGGATAGGACATACATTACGCGAATCATCAAACTGCACCACGAGACAAGCGCTAACTTGGAATTCTGAATGGAAGCGGAAAAGAGGAAGGTCAAAGAACACATCACGTCGGGAAATTGAAGCAGATATGAAAGGGATGAATAAGAACTGGAAAGAGCTAGAAAGGATTGCCCAGGACAGGGTTGGGTGGAGAATGCTGGTGAGCGGCCTATGCTCCTTCGTGAGGAGTAACAGGCGTATGGAAGTAAGTTATGTCCAGTGGGTTTCGCTGATTCCCAGTACTGCTATGTTGTTTCTCCTCATTTATGCTGCTATTTGACTGGTCTTTCCGGCCTCCCACATTTTCTGCACGTTGCATGTATTTGTAAAACTTGTCGCTCTGTTTGTTAGATGGGGCGTCGGCCTCATGGCTTTCTTAGGAACTCTGCTTTCACGATGAGGCGTCCTATTTCTTCCAAATGAAGACCTTCTAACTCCCAGGGAAGAGTTTGGATGGTTTGAGTTCGTTTTTCTGGTTAGCGTTTTTTTAGCGAGTTAGTTTTCCATGGGATGGGGTCGCTAACCCCATGCCCAACCCTCCTTCTTTACCCGGGCTTGGGACCGGCAGGAACTCTAGAAGAGCTACGGGCGGAGTTGTACTAATATTGTGTGACATATTAGAGCAAACTGATGTGTGGGCGAGAATGGTAATGATTGGTCGTTTGGTTATTCACATATGTAGATAGTCTGACAGGTGTCAGATGAGTTATATATTCCCCTATCCTTATTATTATTATAACTCACTTATTGATTGTTCATTTTTGTTGGATTTTGGTGTGGAATTACATTTACGTTGTGGTCAGGCTAATCACATGTTCTTGATCTGAGTTGTGATGAAGTCTTGTAGAATAGATACTGGGAGGGAATCTAGTGTAGATAATCGTTTAGGGTAAATTAACGTCCTATACGTATAAACCCAACCGTAATAACATTAGGCGAAGTAAAACCGAGCGTTATAACACAATCCAGGTTTGCATCAGGTTCTACGTAGTTTATAACTAAATTGTATTAAGGATCAGACAAATATGACACGGCCAGTGCTCAGTAATTGATAAATGTAAATCTCATAGTTGTTCAGAAATTTTATTTACATTGCCATTGGTAAAATAAAGAGTTGCTGGTTCATGCAATGAATCTGTATTTCCTAATCTGCCTTAAAAAGAGCGAATACTTGACAGTCTTTTAGGTCAATCTGGTAAATGGATTACTTGTTCCATTTTTTTTTTGAAAAAAAAAGTAAACCATCGTAAGCCTACTGAAATAGTTTAAGTGTAATACATTATATACTTATGACTAATCACAAATTTCCTGTGTCATTAAGCGTCGCTAAACAGTGATTACTGCCAAACAAAGGATGAGTTCAGCAGCACGTTCCATTATACTTTGTCGCTGTAAAACGTAGGTTACCATTACTTGACCATAAACAACATCGAACCGTTGCCCGTGTATGTCCGGACCAACGAGTGGGCAATGCTGAAGTCAGACTAGAGTATTAGGTGAGGATGGCAAATCAGTTGATAAGGTATTGGATCTCTACTAAGTCAGGTGGTTGAAGCATGTATTACATCCTCCTACATCAATAGACGGTAATTACCGATTTAGGAGTAGGTTGAAATACAGCTAGGAATAGCCAAACCAAACATCGCTTCAATCTGTGTAGTCATTGGCTGTTGGACTTAACCGTGTAAGTAGCTGCAGATTACCCGGTTTAGAGTCCGCGCAATTATAGTAACCAATGGTTGGTGACGTTGTGTGTATATGAACCAGAATTGTTTGCAATGAAATAAGTTCATTCACTCTGTTTACCCTCAGATCCTAAGTTTCTTAATTGTTTTAAGAAAGTTTTCTATTTTATGAACCCATACCCTCTCAAATCATATCTTCCATGCATAATATTGCTTACTATCACATCTCCTTATGCTAGTAAAATGTAACACACTAAATCGATGTGCTTGTATACCAGAATCTCTGTTGTATATAATTAATTTGTTTAAAATTTCGTGGAGCCATTTTGAATTTAATATTTTCTTGTTCAGTTGCAAGTTAACGTTTTTCAAATGTTCAATATACACAAAACGACATTATTAATAATCAACTTTTTTTTGAAATATAAAGTATTTAACTATTCGAGTAAATTTTTTCTTAGCAAATAAACAAATAATGTAAAGTTTAGAAAAAAAAAATGATTGCCCCGATTGTAATACGAAAAAAGTAAGAAATTACTATTAGTTTCTAAGAAAATGGAATGAAATTTTATCATGAATTGAGATCTCAGATAGACGATTACAGAGATTCATTTGCAAAAATATACACTAAAAATAGTTAATCATAATAACGACATATACATAAGTGATAATTATAATTGTCACCATTATGTTTTTCTCATTCGAGATATAGATAATTGATCGAATTCATCAAGAATTGCTTGTTCTAATTCACTGTGATCACATTTAACTGGTTTTGTGTTAGTTGATAAAGATTTGGACTTGATTCGAGTAAATGAAAGTAAAAAGAAAACAATAATTAATCATTTATGGCTTGTTTTTTAATGCACAAGTAATATAATTCATTCCCATATTAAAACTTTCATGGTTAAATTCTGTTAATAATTTTATGGATTAGGATTATGTCTGAGATGATAACAAACAAAATAAAAAATAATTATAACGCAAACAAAAAATGGATAAAAACTACTGTCTCCTACAATGCGTCATGTTGAGTCATAGGAAAAAAACATTTTCTGACTTATACTTACTCCTGTTACTCCCAATGGAGCATAGACCGCCAACCATCATTCTCCAACCCACTCTGTCCTGGGCCTTCTTTTCTAGTTCCACCCATTTCTTGTTCATTTTTCTCATGTCTATCTCCATTTCCGGGCGTAATGTGTTCTTTGGTCTTCCTCTCCTCCTTCGACCTTGAGGATTCCATGTGAGGGCTTGTCCTGTGACGCAGTTCGGTGCCTTCTTCAATGCGTGTCCTATCCACTTCCAGCGCTTCTTCCTGATTTCTTCCTCCACTGGGATCTGATTTGTTCTCTCCCACAGTAGGTTGTTGCTAACAGTGTCCGGCCAACGGATTCGAAGTATTTTGCGTAGACAACTATTAATAAACACATGTATCTTCTGGATAGTGGCTTTCGTGGTTTTCCAGGTTTCCACCTCATACAGTAGAACTGTCTTAACATTTGTATTGAAAATTGTGACTTTGGTGTTGGTTGACAATTGTTTTGAGTTCCAGATGTTTTTTTTGACTTATACCTTTGTAAAAGTGACTACATCTTTTAGTATATGCTTTCAGTTAACATGTAGTTGTATGAATGAAAAAAAGGAAATAGGCCAACCTCTACAGTAGTGTAGGGTTACGGGTTTTCAGTCCATAAATAATTGTTATTTATAGTTGGAGACCTCACAGAATGGATCTCAAAATTTGTTCTAATCAATTGAAAGTACTTATTCTTGTTTCCTTTGAAATCCTAGGCGTGGTATGGTCCTATATAGTTCATATCCAGGTAACAATCATTTAACTTGTACGATATATTATCACCATTATGGGTAATACAAATTTCTCATTTTTTTCTTAGCTTCTAGTTACTTGATTTCTACTGTGATGATTCAAAATATGACAAATTGAAATGGCATGAAATTGTGCTGGATTTCACGCGTTCATTTCATAAACTTATTTCTTATCATTATAAATATATTTAGCATACCAGTCGTTTACAAACCGAAGGGAGGCTTATGACTATATGACATTAAATTACAATCAAGGATTAGTATAAATATATTAATTAAATCATACATCAACTCTTGCAAGTCAAATAGGGATTTGCTGATGAATTATGCTAAAATATAGATTGTTCTAAATAGACTATTTAATAAAGTTCCATAGTTCAAGCATTATCATCAGTCAATAAAATACATGTTATCTTGGAAACACCATTAGTCAACGTTTTCCTACCCAACTAAAAACGCTTAAACATTAGCACAACTATGAAGTTACAGATAATTTAAAATTGAATGATTTAAAAGTACACTTACAAATGAATCATCTGAAAATGGATCAATTGTATTGGATGATGTGCAAGGGGAACCAGTTAAATTAATAAGATCTCTAAAATATGTATACAAAGAATGAGAAATGTGAAGGATTAATAAAAATATACAACTTGCAATTTACATCAGGGAATCGAGTCAAAATCATTAACGGTTACGAAATCGGTTCACCATCTGGAGATACTTCGAGACTAATTTAAATAAGCTGAAATTTAAACAGATTATTATAACACAGCAACTGAGTACCCAAACTTATGCATAGCTAGTTATTATCCAGATTCAAGTAGAGATAGGATTTGAAGTGCTTCATACAACAACTAAAAGCCAAATGTTTGAACACTTAGTTACGGCAAACAGTTTCAACAAACTAAAGCTTGAAAATAGGTGTTGTGGTCTGGATATGTTTGATACGACTTCTTCGTAAGCATCAATTAGTTGAAGCGCGCGAGATAGTGAATAGCCCACTGAACTACGAGAAACATGAAGATTCTACATTGTACCAGATATGTAATACAGAATAAACCCAATATTATTTAAATAATTATAGATTTAAATAAAGTCAACATATACAAGTTCAAGTAGTTATCATAAAGAAAATTACACTAATAATCTTGGTGCTCACAATTTAGTGGTTGTCCTACAAATAAATATGAAATATTCGTAAAACGATTGGTTCTATATATTCTGATGGTTCAATGATCGGTCGTAAATGAGTATGAAGTACAGAAAAATGATTAAAGATTTCATTTTACTCAAAGATTTTAGCCTAGCACTTTGTAAGTGAACATTTTTCAATATGGAAGCTGATTTTACTTTAGGAATTACATTATCGTTTATCTTGTGGGATACTTATTATTATTATTTGAACACATAAATATTGGTACAAGGGGGGCACCAAATATATATGCGCCACACAAAACAATGATAATTTGAAGAGAAGTAGAAAAGAGAAAAAAAAGGAATGAACGTGGGGAAGTATAAAAAAAGGGAGAAAGAGAGAACAATGGTGGGGGAAACGGAAAGGTACAATCAGAAGAGATCTTTCAATTAAGGAAGATACAACCACTTTTTATGAAGAAAGTAAAAGAAGGTTACAGCAGGATCGCCACTGGCTTCTATTCTGAGCCACTGCGTTACACCGTCTCTCGGACTCCAACCAGGGATTCGTGAAGGACCAACAGAAGCTAGCCCTTTGCAGCTTTCTTTCATACCACGACACCATGTCATATACTGACCACCTCTCCGCTTTTTCCAACCAGTCTCAGAGTCGGCAAATAATGCACGACGTGGAATTCTCTGGGACGACATTCGTAGAACATGTCCAAGCCACCGAAGTCGGTGTTTCAAGATGGTGACACCAATTTCATTATCGTCTCTGTGACCGAACACTCGATGCCGAACCTCTGCATTACTGACATGGTGTTGCCACTGGATGCCAGCAATCCTTCGGAGACAACGATGATCGAACACAGAGAGTCGTCTAACATCCTCAACTCGGAGAGGCCAGGTTTCACAAGCATAGAGCAAAACTGCTCTCACCGTCGCGTTGTAGATCCGACCTTTTATAGCCAGACTAACATCACGAAGGCGCCAAAGATGGCCCAGATTGGCATAAGCCGCTCTGGCTTTCACTATACGTGCATTGATCTCATCACTCACATCACCACCAGCACTTATGCAGCTACCTAGATACACGAACTTCTCGACTACTTCTATCTGCTCACCATCCAGAGTGAGTACAGGATTAGAATCCTGCCAGTCTTGTAGAAGAACTTTGCACTTCGAGGGTGCAAAGCACATACCATACCTACGGACACTGATTGCCAACTGATTAAGTGCGTATTGCATAGCTTGGGCATTCTCGCACAGTAAGACAATATCATCCGCGTATTCAAGGTCGAGAAGTCTTTCTCCAGGCAACAGATCCACACCACCATTACTTACATATGTCAGAGCATAGTTGCAGTAGACGTTCCCCGTTATCTTTCCTGCGACCAACGAGTCCCCATCGGCCACCTAAACGACTCTCTTCTGTGCCTAGACGCCCGACTTGAGCATTCAAGTCTCCGGCTAGTACAACAATATCTGTCGAACGCACTTTCTGGAGAAGAACAGTTAGCTGGTGGTAGAGCTCGTCCTTGATTGCATCCGGGCTGCAATCTGTCGGGGCATAGGCGGAAATGACGAAAGTACATCGTTTCTCACGCCGATTTCTTCTCACTTTGATGGAACTTTCTAATCTAACAGCACATAACCGATTGTTAATGGTGATCCAGTCGATGGGTGCTGCCTCAGCTCTAGCGCTTAGTGTGACACCAACGCCAGAAAGACCAGACGAAGATGCCACAGGGTCCCCGGATAAACGCACGTAGAACATGCTTTTTGAAGCGACAGATGGTGAGCGAACTTGTAGTACTTCACCAGTCTTGAATACGGGTCTCGGATAGACAACAAACGTCAATATTAAGAATTTCCAAAGACATAGCCCGTCCTATCTGTTGTCCGACCTGCATAAATGTCCAAACGTTGAAGGCAGCCAGTTTGAATGGTGCACGTGGTTTCAGAAAAACTGCTTCAGTACTCATATTCGGTGGTAACATACAATTTTCAACCAGGCAGTGACTCGAGAACGTTTAGATAAAGCTGAATTTTCACCATAGATGAGCTGCTGTCTAGGTCGAAATGTATACATAAAGTAGGAATAAGAGATGGTGAATAAATGACGTAGTAAATAATAATAATTATAGTACGAGTTATTTCAATGTTAATCAGATAGAAAGGAATATTTTCCATAAGCAAATTGTTCATCATCATGGTTTTAGTGCGTGGGCTGAGATACTGCCCGGGTGCCCAAACCGAGGCAGGTGGTTTTCTTAGGGGGCCACACCCCGAGCCTTTGACCCAAGGGTCTAGTCCACAAGGCAGTGGAGCATCGTGAGGAGATGCGGTCCCATGGAAGCCGGTGACCAACGATTGGTTCATACGCCATTTGTTCCTTCAGGATACTGGAGCCCATGTGCACCATATAATTGGGATCCGGTTATAGCGCCGGAAGTTCGCTTTTCGTCCTCTCATTTTCGCAAACAACACCCGTGGTGCGAGAAGGCAGTGAGTAGGACTTCCCTGGCAGAGGCTGTATACGCGTGGCCGTGTGAGAGTATTTCGAGAGGGAGGGCGAACCCTCCCCGCTCTCGGCCATACCAGGGCATTTGGGGGGGATACAGAATTACTTGATGCTAACCCTAACTAGAATTTAGGATGGTATGTTGATCATTTTTTTGGAATCAATGTTTCCTATTTCATATGAGTAAATACTGTGCTAGGGACGCGTCTTTGAATGTCTAAGCACTGAAGGAGATTCGACGGATTGTATTTATAATATTAAACTATAAGAAATGGAAGTGGGAATTAATTTTTGTTACAATTTGAAAAATATCAAGTAAGCATTTCAAAAACTTACTCAGAAGAACATGTAGGCGGGCTAGAATCGAATGTAACCCAATTATGAAAAGCTTTTTCAGGAGACTCTACGTAACAACCCATACGCTTTGATGAATTACAACGAAGATTAAATGGTTCATGCTCTATCTCTTGAGAACGATTTCTAAGCGATACTTGGGAATCATTAACTCGACTAGTTGTTGAAGGATAAAAATCAGCTGTAAAGTCAGGTAGTTCTGACAAAATACTAGTGAGTAGACTGCGATTTGTTCGTTCTGAATCACGTAATTCATGATCGATTTTTGGTGATAAAGGTTGCCATGTGGAATTATCACAAGATGAAAGAATGTTTGTATCACTGTTTTGCTGATAATGACTGGGTAAGGATAAATTATTATCTTTTTTAAATTCCAATTTTTTCCTTAATATCTCACAAATATCTTGTTCTGATGGTCGAGTTGTAAGAGACGGGATTAGTACTTTTCTACTGTGAGCTTTTGATGTAGCAGAATTATTCTACAATAAAATGGTGAAAACAAAAAAAGGTTTCCACAATAGAATTTATTATTGAATAAGGCAAGTGATTTCTGACAAACGAAAGAGGTTATACAAAATTACGACAAAAAGTATGTTGGCTAAGCTAGCAATAGGTTTAAAGCTTCAGAAGGAAATAATGTTTGGCTTACAATTACATTTGGCTGATATTATTATAGTAGTTATATAAGAAGCAAGAGACGAAGGTCAAGGATATATATAATACAGGAGTGGAAGAAATTGAAAAATAGTTTAAATATTTTGAAGAAAACTCACATCTTTACCGATGATCAAGGTAGTGAGAAAGGTTGTATAAACTTAGTTTGGATGAAAATGTATGGTTTGTGAATATGGATTCCGACAGCTTCAAAATGTGCAAAAGGCGAACTCGTAAAATGTGGTAAATTTGATGGAATATGGTAGATACCTTAAAAGCTTTATTCAAGTCAACTTGATGACCTGTGTCCACCAAGTGAGCGTGAATAGAACTCTTAATCAATCTTACCTGTCCTTTGCTCAACCAAGAGGGATGGTGTTCTTCTATGCGATGACGGACTTGCCGAATTGCATAACTGGTTACACAAGAGCAGTTGAGTTGGTAAATACACATTAATGTAGCAAATTCAACCAGTTGTAAGATTAGAAAATTAGATTTTCTACTCATTGGGATATTACAAATATATTATTTATTTATAACAATCAACCCAATGCTCAATTTATTCGAAATTATCAGTTGTAAGATTATTGCATCAATCATCCTTATAGTAAGTCAAGTTTCAAATAGTCGTCATCGGCCATTTTCCTAAATCATAAAAAACGGCTTCCTACAAACTAACACTCAATAGAATATCTGATGCAGCTATTCTAAGACTACGCATATCTTTTTCAAACAACAGAATCACTTGGCTGTGACCTTGAAAAGTGTTGCTGCATCTTTAAAAACTATTAGAGTTATCATTAAACATAAAACAGTAATTAACAAAAAAGAAAAAACGTAATCGCTTACGAAATCTCGTTTCTCCATTGTAGAACCATTCAATTTAAACGTCTGATAAAAATTATTAGGACGAGTGACTAGCTGTAAATCATCCATTTTTTTCAAAAGACAAAGGAAGGATATTTTCATTATTATTTGAATTATTGACGAAATTTCGAATAAATTACAATGAGCAAACCATCATTAATTAATTTTATGGTATAAGAAGAAAAATTGAACTAGACATCAATTATATCAGGTTCAATGTTGATTGACTACAGAAATCATTTCAAGAATTCTAACCTTATGTTCGAGTTGAGCGTAGAATCTCACAAGCAAAACACGAGATTTATCTGTAATATACTATTACTAAGTAAAATAATTGAATACGGATATATGAACGGAGAATATTCTTTTAAATAAATTCACCTCAGTTTCTACAATTATATATACCCAAATAAGTAATCCAAAAAGTGTCCAGGTTTAAGGCAAAACATATCGTTTGAAATTATGGCATGAGAATTCAAGATAGTAATATAAAATTGTTATTATTGCAATAACTAATGTGTAATAGCAACTTGAATAAGTTTATACGTTAAATAGAATTGTGAGAATAGTGAACAGAATAAATATGGTTAATATGAAATGATAGAGATAATAATGTAAATAAGACCATATTGTATAAAACGTTAGGCGAAATTAGTAAGAATTAATAATATGGGATAACTGCTAAGTAGATTAATCATACATTTGAAGCTTAATAGTGATTTTAAAATAATAATACTAATATATTCAAATTAAAGACAACTATGTTTGACTTAAAAAAAGTTTTAAGTACTTTAGTCAAATTTAAACAATTTCATTTTTGTTGTGCGACATTTAAGGAAACAATTATTTGAATGAATGTGATTTTATCACGAGCTTAAAATATGTCTAAACCGATAGATCACGAAATCTTCAATTTTTGAATATGTTGAAATCTTGAGCATCTAAACTTTAGTTTGCTTAAACATCTTACGTAAAATTATATGAACTAGACGAAGTCGAAGTTACCGAAAATTGAAGATAGCTTCAATTTCAAAAACTGTAATTAATATATTTGTTTATTGTGTTAATGGAAATGAACTTTCCTATCAACCCAATTTTGTCATAATTTGATCATTTTCAGTAATGCGAACCACAACCTGATGCTTAGTCATTTACTAAGATATTCAGTAAAGTCTGTAAGAGGTTTTAACATACATAGAAGAGACGTACTGATGACACTCTTATCGTTTACAATGAAGCTTTTGACTCGCACAATTTGCCTATTATCCAAAAAAAGAAGCGAATCGAGTGGTCTTAATGTGAAATGTGAAGGTCATATTTTCTATATATATATATATATATATATATATATATATATATATATATATATATATATATATATATATATATATATATATATATATATATACATGTTATGAGACAGTTGAACAAATTTAGTGTCTTATAACCGGTATAATAATTCTTCATACGGTAATACAATATTTTTACATGAATTCATATTTTCAAGCTTAATTCATACATACATGACAGATATATAAACTAAGATTAGTTCAACAAAGAGTTCCCTTTCCGGCGAATTCATTTTCAAAGCTAAAAAGAGAACACTTCACTGAACCATTCTTTCTTAATGAGTATATTCCATTTACCTAAAGATATTTGGATGTCAAATAGGATATTGTCATCACAATCTTCAGTATCATTCATATAAACAAATTACTTGTCAAGTATCAGTGGTCATTCGAAAAATCCATTACCAAATATTACTAAAACTTGGGACAAAATGGGTATATCGAGGCAATTCACATAGAATGAATATAAAGCACGAGAAACTTATCAATCGCAGTCCTAATTATCAACAACAGAGACATACAAACCCATGCAAATAACTAAATGATAATTATGTTCGGAAAGTTCGAAACTTGTGATATGATGTCGAATAATTAAGTCGAACAATTAATAAGAGGGTGAGTGACTAATTTCCTCTAATCACCTATGACAATTTATCATGTTTACTTTGTATTAATATTTTGCACATAAGCATGTCATTTTGTAATATAAGAAATATCCATTCCCCTGGCTTGTGGTATTTTTTTGAAATGACCACCATTGAAAACCCGGAGACTGAGTCTCTTACTAGGACGAAACGGCCGTTCAGTACTTCTAGGCATTTAATGGTGGTCTGATTTAGATCGGTTCATAACTTCAATGAAATTCAACAGTCTCTAATACCCCATAATATGGTATTTTCTTTATCGTAAATAATTTGGGAGCTTAGGTCAATAATTCGGTCCTATGAGCAGTTGTCGCTGGATGCCACCCATCGATCAGCGTTCTTTACATCTATTTTATCAATCAAAAATTCGCTCACGGAACACTTATTTCGTTAACAAATGGAAAATAACATCCAGTGACTTACTACTTTGATACACATTTTTTGACCCGTTTAAAAGTACATACATGCTTGTAGAGAAGGTTGATCGGTCTCCAGAGCTGTACTAAGAATAGCATTAATGTTATCTGGGGGCTGAGGCATGCGGGACCGAGCATCGGCGTATGTATGTCGGCTTCCCGGTAGATACTCGCATGTGAAATCGAACTCTTGTAATTGTTCTTCCCAGCATGATATTTGTCTTTCTGATTCGTGCAAAGAACAGAGAAACTGCAGTGTATGGTGGGTCAACCCAAGAGATAGTGAGGAAAGGGTAGTAAGAATTTTACCAACGCTAACATCTCTCGGTTTGTTGTGGAATATCTTGCTTCGTTATTGCCTATTCGTCGACGAGCTATCTGTGATAGAACATCCATATAAAGTATAATTTTGCTCCCATCTGCTGAGGTGTCCAGGAAGGCTAATATGGGTGTGCATTTAAAACATCAAACGCCTACTGACACTCAATGGATCTCCAGAAACCGGATGACAACAGTACAACAATCTACTTTCACAGGGGACAATATACCCCATTCGGCAGCCACCTCACAGGGTACCGGTACACTACCGATCGCAACTGGATGCGGTGATAAAGGATATGTTAGACAAAAAGATTGTAGTCCCCTCATCATCCCTATGGGCATCACCTATTGTTTTAGTGAAGAAAGACTCCTTTCTACGATTGTACGTAGATTACCACTTCCGCCGATAGACGCTACATTAGACGCCATGAAAGGCGTTTGTTGATTTTCGACTTTGGACTTAGCATCTGGGTATTGGCAAGTGGAAGTTCGACCTCAAGATAGGAAGAAAACCGCATTCATAGTACCAAATGGTTTATATGAATTTCCAGCTACCTTTCAAAGACTGATACAAACAGTCTTACAAGATAAAATACCCCACAAATGCTTGATATATCTTGACGACATTATTGTGTATGGTAGCACACCCGAACAACACAACGCTAACTTGAAAGCGGTTCTTCAGCGCCTTAGACAACACAATTTAGAATTAAAACCGTCGAAATGCCGACTGCTGCAAAAAAAGTAATCTTCTCGGGACACCGTATCACCGCAGATATGGTAGGCACAGACAGAGAAAAGACACTTGCCACTGTTAATTGGCCGCAGCCAAGATCATCCGAAGACGTTCGTAGTTTCCTAGGGTTCGCTTATTATTACAGGCGCTATGTTCGTGATTTTGCATCATTGGCGGTTTATGCCCCATTAGGAGTAACAGGCGTAAGCAAGTAACATTCTGCTGTCAGGCATTCCACTTCTGATTGGTGTTTCATTCTACTTATGTCGATAGACATAAGTAGCATAAACCACACCATATGTGGATATAATAGATATTATATAGCTCCTTAAATGGAATTAAGTAGAGCACAATTTAAACTTGTAACTATATAATTGAAAATTTAATATTATAATCACCACTAAGTGACATGTTTCTCATTTAATCACACATTATGACAAGAATTCTAACCAATAATCGTCATTGTTTTTAGATACATTGTTAGAAATAAGCGGATAAATGGAAAATGTGAGATTCTGAAAGGTATTTATCAAAAAAGTAGTGAATCTGTCTTCAGTGTGTAGGTATTAAGCAATTGATTCATAGTACTTTTTTAATCTTAACTGTAAGCTTTTATTTAAATTATTCACACTTCGTAAATTATGGTTGGATATCTACATAACTGTTACTCCGTAGCATCATACTACAAATGATCGTGTTTTGCAAAAACTGAAATTTCTGATTTGATATAATTAAGTTGGTTTTTTGCTCTACATAATACAAGATAATCAAAGTGACATTTTAGTTTTCTCACATAGATTTTGGGACAGAAAAAATTTTAGTGAGGAAATTTGGGTCAGGTTATTATTTTAGTTGTGTTATGGGAATATTATAAGGCTAAGCATCTAGCAGTCGTCAGAAATCTACTCTAAATTCAAGCTTTCCTGGAGACTAGCTTTAGCTACCCGATATCTTAATGGAATGAATGCGATGCTAAACCACGTGAACTAGTGTGATCAAATTGCAACTCGATCAGCACTGAGATTAGACAAACGTGAAATCAGTCAGTATTCAGTTATAAATCAACACAAGTAACTATATATTACAAATAAAACAGTTGGATAATAGTGTGAACATACACATTTTACGTTCATGAACTTCATTCTCTGTCTCTCTCCATATATATATATATATATATATATATATATATATATATATATATATATATATATATATAAATGAACACATTATTTGACTTGAAAAATGTACCATAAGTACATTTGAATAAAGTTACTTAACCCGTTTTGTTTATACAAAATAAAATTGTCAATTAATGTCATTTAAAGTGCAATTAAATACTTTTTTCAAAAAGGTTATACTTATAACATTTAGATGATTTTCGAAAAAAAAACGATTTTTTTTTAAAATTATGACCTCGTTCAACTAGTTCGATTAAATAGATTAAGCTTTTCAGAGAGAAAAATTCTTCGGGTTACACATAATATTCGGAAATACTACTTATAATACTACTGATAAATTATTTGATATATTTTTCGAACAAAAATACTAACAACATCTGTAATGATTATGTGCATATAGAATTTTATACTTGCTCATTATTTGAAACGGTAGAACTGAAGTAATTATTATTGATCTATGAAATAAAAATAAACAGTAATAATAAATGCAACTATTGGATTGTCTAATGTTAACAATACATCATTGAAATCTTCGATTAATTAGGTAAATCTTTAGTGGATTAAATATATAAGACAGTAAACTAAGTACTTAGAATATCATAAATGAATAAAACATATTGTAATTAACCATTTTTACTGTAGTTGGGTTACTAGAAATTGTAGCGTTTTTATTAATTTGTATTATTTTACCTAAACCACCATTGAAAAATAGGGAGAACTGGACTGCCTATTCGTCCTAGACTGGGGCGCCTATACAGTGCGCAGCCGAGAGCTGAACTCAGGTCCTCTGGTTTCGTGAGCGAACACTTAACTTATAGACCACAGAGTTGGCATCCAACAATATCATTGTCCAGCTTCAACCAATTTATAATATCGCCCAACTACTACCGATTGCTTGTTGTGGATAACGGTCTCATATCCAGCATGGTTGGATTTCACTAGTCATCATTTTTTATTAGACCTCCATGAGTTGCTTCTTGAAGCTGCAAATGATGATTGAGGACTGCACAATATCTTGAATCGATTGAAGTCAGACATTAATATAGTTGGGTACCAGCTTAGTGGTCTAGAAGTTTAGGATTCGCGCACGAAGACTGCGTCCGACTCCCAGGTGCGGATCATGGATCTACAATGCTGAGGAGTTTCACACTAGAACGAAACAGTTACTCAGTGTTTCCAGGTTTTCAATGATAGTTTAGATAAGATCGGTTGATAGTTTAAACTGCGAAAATTAATCATTTAATGAATGAATAAACATAAGAACTTAATATCAACTTTTCACATTCTTTTCTAACATATATTATTGTCGGTTTTGGTTTCAATGCTTTGACCACCAGTAAACACGAATAGGAACAAAGCGGAAAAGGGAAAATCAGCAGAAGAAAAGAGAAACAGTCTAATATCTGCATTATAAAAGTTCAGTGTTAATAGTTTATATTGGTGTATCAAAATCAAAATCAGATATTCGTTTGACAATAAAGATAAATAGTAACGTGTTGCCTAAAGCGAAAAGCAGAAAAAGCTGTTGTTTGTTACAAAATATAGTTGGCATGTGAGATATAATTTATAGAAATTAATACGAGTAGCTGATGAAAGTCAATTAACGTATTGTGACCAGTTTTATTATTAATTAATTAATCAGTAGGTGAAAATCATTTATCAAATTGTTAAGAACCTAAGAAAAACTCTCCAGATGCCAGAAAAATACACCGACCAATCAGTGTTTATTAGGAAACCAGAAAACAACAAATTACACTTTTTATTACGTTGACTGGACGATAATTGGAATTGTCACTAATTTAAGTATATTTTCTAAAAGCTAATAAAATCCCAAAATTACGTACAATATTCAATAAATACATTTCTTTTCTGTATATAAACTAAATATAAGAGTAAAGCTTTTCGTATACGTACCATTTTCTGTTCTGAGATAAAGTATGGGGCAACCCTGGAGACTAAGAAGTGGTTTGAAAGTCAATGTTTAAGCGTTCAACTAAGATATGTATCGCGGTACAGATTCAAGTACTCGGCTATGATCAACATATTGTATAACAGCTTGTAATAAAACTTGACTATATAAACCGAATTACAAGCTGCAGAGTTTGAACTTACAACCTAATAGATGGAAATCAGGTGCTTTAAAACTAACCCATCACTTAACCGGCATATATATATATATATATATATATATATATATATATATATATATATCTTTTAAGAGAGAAATTTATTATTATGTTGGTTTTCAGGAAAATGAGACGCCATCCAGGCTCTTTACAGTCTAAGTAGTACATCTTCGTCTTAGAGGTAGGCATCGAGAATCCTAGTATACCACTAATAAATTGTTATTTGACAAGTTATTTGGCTTATTTGGAAATATATACAGCAGTTTGGATTTTCCTAAAATATGCATTCAATTAATAAATGGTTGTTTTATAATAATAGAAACTTGAAAACCAATTAGGCAATTTATGTGTTGAGTCACCTCATTCATCTTGGTATTCTACCAAGTCAAATTTGTCTTCATAAAGAAAGTTATTTAAACAATAAGAGTATGAAGTGAGTTATTGAGATTTACAAATTTCACCTCAAAAGAATGATTCATAATAAATAAAAAAGACAGTTGAAAAGGACACCAACGCAAACTGTATTACTAGGTGCTAATCTGATGTTGTGTTATTTACAAGCACAATATGATGTCAACTTAATATAACCATTCGAATATTGATTCCAATACGAATGATTTGGTTAGGATAATAATATAGAGAGAGGAACTCAGAAAACAACAACAAAATCCTTATTAGTACGTTATGTTCTGATGAGAGAAAAGAATGTCAGAAAATAAAAACCGAACTAAATGTGAAGAATTGTTATCGAATGGAAATACAAATCTTCAATTTATTTATTATTTATTTATTTGAACACATAAATATTGGTACAAGGGGGGCACCAAATATATATGCGCAACACAAAACAATGATAATTTGAAGAGAAGGAGAAAAGAGAAAAAAAAGTAATGAACGTGGGGAAGTATAAAAAAAGGGAGAGAGAGAGAACAATGGTGGGGGAAACGGAAAGGTACAATCAGAAGAGATCTTTCAATTAAGGAAGATACAACCACTTTTTATGAAGAAAGTAAGAGGTTACAGCACGATCGCCACTGGCTTCTATTCTGAGCCACTGCGTTACACCGTCTTTCGGACCCCAACCAGGGAGTCGTGAAGGACCAACAGAAGCTAGCCCTTTGCAGCTTTCTTTCATACCACGACACCATGTCATATACTGACCACCTCTCCGCTTTTTCCAACCAGTCTCAGAGTCGGCAAATAATGCACGACGTGGAATTCTCTGGGACGACATTCGTAAAACATGTCCAAGCCACCGAAGTCGGTGTTTCAAGATGGTGACACCAATTTCATTATCGTCTCTGTGACCGAACACTCGATGTCGAACCTCTGCATTACTGACATGGTGTTGCCACTGGATGCCAGCAATCCTTCGGAGACAACGATGATTGAACACAGAGAGTCGTCTAACATTCTCAACTCGGAGAGGCCAGGTTTCACAAGCATAAAGCAAAACTGCTCTCACCGACGCGTTGTAGATCCGACCTTTTACAGCCAGACTAACATCACGAAGGCGCCAAAGATGGCCCAGATTGGCATAAGCCGCTCTGGCTTTCACTATACGTGCATTGATCTGATCACTCACACCACCACCAGCACTTATGCAGCTACCTAGATACACGAACTTCTCGACTACTTCAATCTGCTCACCATCCAGAGTGAGTACAGGATTAGAATCCTGCCAGTCTTGTAGAAGTACTTTGCAATTAGAAGGTGCGAAACACATACCATACCTACGGACACTGATTGCCAACTGATTAAGTGCGGATTGCATAGCTTGGGCATTCTCGCACAGTAAGACAACATCATCCGCATACTCAAGGTCGAGAAGTCTTTCTCCAGTTAACAGATCCACACCACCATTACTTACATCCATCAGAGCTGTTTCCAGAATGTCATCGATGGCAAAGTTGAAGAGGAATGGTGAGATTGGGCAACCCTGCCTAACCCCACTGCTCGAATGGAATAGTGGAGAAAGGTGGTTGTATGCCCTCACTCTGCCTGAAGTGTTTGTACATGGGGCCTTTAGGATGTTAATAAACTTCTCAGGCACACGCTTCTTCAATAGACAGTCCCAGAGAACAGTCCTGTCCAACGAATCGAAGGCAGCCCTGATGTCAAGAAACACTACGATTGTTGGCCTTTGATAAGTATGGCGGTGTTCTAACATTTGGCGGAGGGTGAAGATATGATCAATGCATCCTCGATCAGAACGAAACCCAGCCTGATCCTCGCGAGTCAATCTTTCTCGGGTTCTGAACAACCTACGAAGTATGACGGAAGCCAATAGCTTGGACGCAATCGGAAGTAGACTTATCCCCCGATAGTTGTTACAGGAACGACGTGAACCCTTTTTAAAGATAGGGACAACTATCGACTCATTCCATGACGTTGGTGCACTCTCTAGTTCCCAGATCTTTGTAAACAACGTCGTCAGTCCCTTAGTCAAAAAGTCACCACCATCTTTAAAAAGAGCCGGAGGTAAGTCGTCTGGGCCCGGTGATTTGTAACGTTTCAAAGGCATTATTAACTGGCATAAAATCGAAAACTGATTGAGCGGTTTACAATGACTGACCCAATAACACAATAAGCCAGTCATTGGTATTCTTCAAACCGCTGACAAACACAAATCTTATTCTAAAGTCTAGAAATGTATACCTTATCAGTGGTCTACAGTATTTTTATTTAATTGGGACCGAAAAGATTTGGTTTCAGATACATTTTGGTGTGCAAATTGAAATAGTGACCTTATATATATGTATAATATGAAACTTACTTTCTGTGAAAGTTTCTCGGATTTCCGCGTCAGCTGAAATATATATACGATTAAAATCTATGGATTAGTACCTTAAATAAAGAATATTTGCTTATTTATCATGATGACTTACGAAACAATAGCGGTAAAAATGACATCGGTTGCTACTCACTAAGTGACCAATTAATGTAAATACCTCAATCCAAAGGAGATAGGTCGCGACACGAATAACTATATAATAACGTTCATGACTGTGAAACTGGGTGATGCAGGTCCGAATACTATAGGGAGCATCGATTTTCTGAAGATCAAAGGTACGCCCTGCCAACAAGTACCAACTAGTACGAAGTCTAGGTTAAGAGTATCCTACGGACTACTTCTAAACAATTATCATACAAACTTAGTTTACACGATGCCCGGTTACTTAACCTACTGAACAGACAAAAGACGACCGATAAGAATTAGACACACATGACAAACTTTTACTGAGCGATTAATCAATTGAAAAATAATAGTAACAAGGGTAATTATGCTCGGAAATAAAAAACACATCTATATGACCAAAAATTAAGTATCATGGCCTATAATTTAAAGAACAAATCGATCTATACTACAAGGGATGTAAGAAATACGATGAAACAAATTTGACAATGATAAATAAATAAATAATATATTTGTAATATACCAATGAGTGGAAAAATTAGATTTTCTGACGTTTCGTGGCTTAGTGTACGACACTTCTTCAGAGAATAAATAACCAAATTTGGGATATTACAAATATATTATTTATTTATTTATAACAATCTACCCAATGCTCAATTTATTCGAAATTATCAAATCAAATCTTGGTAATGATACCTAAAAAATTTGACAATGAATAAAAATAATTGAAAAGTGAGTTGGATGTGTGTGTACTTCTGTATATTTTGTCGACATTTAGAAGAGAGAAAAATAAAACTATGGTACATTATGATACATAATGCAATTTGACTAGATTAATTACAAATAACTATGTACTAACTCCGCCTGTAGCTCTTTTTGGGTTACTGCCGGTCCCAAGCCCACACAATGAAGGAGGTTTGGGCATCAAATCAGTAACCCGATCCCATATGAGACAACCTTGCTAGAACAACAGTAACCAGAAAACATAATTTAAACTATTTTAACTATGTCCTCCGAGTTCAAACATCTTCATTCAGAAGAGTTATGACAACTCATGGTGAAGTCCCAGATTTTTCTGAAGCCACGAGGCCGATGACCATTCTAACAAACACAGCAACAACCAATATAGATACATGCAATGTCAAGACAATTTGGGAGACCAGAACGATCTGTTAAAGAGCTGCGGAAAAGATAAAATACAACTTAGAGGTGCTCGGATGCAGTGAAACACATTAGACCCAAACTAAACATAAAAGGATGAAATCGGTAATGATAGTGATGTACTATGGTCACAAAGAATCAAATGCTCCGCACACTCAGGGAGTTGTTCTGATGATGTCCAAAGAAGCACGTAAAGCACTAGTAGGATGGGAGTCTAATGGATCCAGAATCATCAAAGCATCCTTCAAAACAACGGAGGGAATCATAGTAGAATTTATCCAACATTTTGCCCCCAACGATGACAAACATCAGTTTTACGAGAGGCTGCAATCGATCATAGTGAAGCGCACAGAAAGAGACCTAACCATCCTCATGAGAGACCTAAGCGTCAAGTTGGAATGGATGACATCACATGTGAAGATATCATGGGACGACATCGATGAGAATGGTGACAGATTTGCAAATGTATGTGCATTAAACAAAATGGTTATAGGAGGCACAATATTCCCCCACAAACACATACCACAAAGCTACATTGGTCTCACCAGATCACACTACACAGAACCAGATCGATCATATTTGCTTCGATAAAAAGCTCAGAAGGTCAATGGAGGACATGAGAACTAAGAGAGGAGCTGACATATTTTCAGATCATCATGTACCTGGTGGTTGCTAAGATGAAACTTAAGCCAAAGAAACAATGGACAACTAAAGAAACAGTATCACAAAGGCTCAATACAGCCTTCCTTCGATATATAAACTCAAGGAATTCAAGATAACTCTCAACAACAGATTCCAAGCCTTACAAGATCTGTCCAAAGAAGAGAAAACCACTATGAAGTAGAATTGGAAAGGGATAAAAGAAGTACTATCTTAAACGTGTTAGGAGGTTCTGGGTCACAAGAAGCACCATCCTACGGAATAGATATCTAACGAAACCCTGGACAAGTTTCAAAAAACGAAGGGCAAAAAGACAGAAATTGACAACAGCCGAACGAGAACAGAAAAAGTCAAGGCATAAGCTGATTACACAGAAGCAAACGAGCAAGTGAAGAGGAGCATTAGAGCTGACAGGTAGAAATACGTGGGACACCCCGCACCGACAGAGGAAAAAGATGCGACAGAAGGAAGAAACTGGCAGGAAGATATGGCAAACAAGAGTGACGGGTTACGAAAAGAGAAGGCAAGCCAATCACTGAGATTCAAGAAAAGAGAAAAGGTAGGTAAAACACTTTGAGAAACTCTTGAATAGGCCAGATCCACTGAATCCACAGGACACCGAAGTAGCACACGCAGACCTCCTTTTAGATATCACTCCGCGACGGAAGAAACCAGCATGGCCATCAGATAAATAAAAAGTGGGAAAGCAGCACGACCTGACAACATACCAGCTGATGCGCTAAGGTCAGACATAGAACTAACTACAAACATGCTTCACATTCTGTTCAGAAAGATATGTGAAGAAGTAAAAAAGCGACAGACAGACTAGAAAGAAAGATATCTCGTCAAGATACTAAATAAAGGATATCTGAGCAAGTGTGAGAAACACACAGACATCACACTACTATTGTGGTGTGTGCTACTTATATCGACATAAGTAGTATATGACGTTAGTCGGGAACAGAATGTCTGGCAGCAGAGAGACAAGAGGATCGAACAGTAAAGAATGGAAACAGAATGCAATTTGTATGAAAATGCAAGAACAATGAAGTCTGAGAAATTGTAAGACAAGAGATGGACATTTTGCAAATTAAGCATTTACTATACGGTTCTCAGATTTTGAGACGCTCTGTAATTTTTTTTAACAAATACATTTGATTGTCCCCACTGAAGTTCCTGCTCACTACACTATCAGTGCAAGGAAACAGAGGGCTGTTGAACCGGAAGAAAGACTCAGTGGACGCGCAACATCGAGATCAACAGCTCGGATTCCGTAAGGGTCGGTCGCACACAGACCAAGTCGCGACACTACTTGTCAATGTTAAATAATCAGTTGAATGCAACTTGTCAATGTATATCAATTTCCTTCACTCTGAGAAAGCATTTAACAATGAGGATAGGAGAACCTTATGGGACATTCTTCGACATTTTGGTATGAGTAGATGAGAAAAGCGTCAACAGCATATAGAATTCATACGACGGACTACACTGCAAAGTCGCGCATGGAAGACAGCTTACAGACACATTCCAAGTGAGGAACAGAGTCAGACAACGCTGCTTACTCTCTCACCTCCCCTTTTTTCTGGTGGTTGACTGGATTACAAAGACCTCCACATCTGAGGGGAGGCATGGATAACAATGCACAGCTTGAATGTAATTAGGCGATTTGGACTTCACATATGACCCAGCCCTTCTATCCCATAAAGACCAACGAAAGTAGGTGAAGATATCCAGTGAAGCAGCCGTGTCTGCACCAGTAGTCCTCAACATACACATAGGGAAAAGCAGGATCCTCAAATAAAACTCGGAGAGCACCAACTTAGTCACACTTGATGGAGAAGCTCTGGACAGCATTATCAATCAACGAGGAGGATCCGATGCATATGGAAGGTAAAGGATGGCAAAGCGCAAGCAGCATTCCTACGGTTGGAGAGCATATGGAATTCAACACAACTGTCTCCAAGTCAACATCAAATCCGGAATCTTCAATACGAACGTCAAGACAGTTCTACTGTAGAGAGCTGAAAAGTAGAAGACTACTACAACCATCATCAATAACATACAAGTATTTCTAAACAATTGTCTACATAAGATACAAAATGTCCGTTTGCTGGATACCATCAGCAGCAACTTACTGTGGGAGCGAACAAACCAGCTTCCATCTGAGGAGGAAATTAGGAAAAAAAGTTGAAAGTGTAAAGGATATACATTTTGGAAATCACCAAATCGAATCCTAAAGAGGAATGAAAAGGAGGAAAGTCAAAGAACACACTGCACCGGGAACTGGAAGCAGACATCAAAAGAATTTTCCAGGACTGAGTTGGATGAAGAATGTTGGTGGGCGGCCTATACACCTCCCATGAGGGATAACAGGTGTATGTAAGTAACTATATACTCTAAGTGAGATGTTTAGTCACGGGAGATATTCGACAGTTAACCACGGGACTAAGTTTTGTGATAGTTGGCACACATCAGTAAAATGTACCTTTGATCTTGAAAGAAATAATGCCCCTTGATGGATTCGAACCCGTGACATTCATTGTCACATTATCACTGAGCTAGACGGCAACCGAATGGCCTCCAAAATGGCTGGTACGCCCATCAAATTTTATCAATATTTATTGAGTTCCATCTCTTGACTCATGTTTTGTCAACTAATTAACATAAGTAATTGTTACTTCTTAAACTGATCAATTTCCTCTTGCAATGAACGATGTAAATTCAATACAGGTATACTTTAACTCATGATATAAAATGCAATAAACCAAAAGATTCAGTTAACTTCTGTGTCAGATAACTGATGAACATGAAATTTATGAAAGTTACTTATAAGTAAAATATACGCAAACAAATAGAGATAGATTCCTATACTAAATAACACTGTTCATTACTTTGAAACATGTGACTTTGGAATCTGGTGTTATTTACAATGTATTTAAACTGGAATGCAAGTGACATCAAGGAATGAATAATGTACAAATAGGGGAGCTGATATCTTAATAGTACAAGTCTAAAACTTAAACAATGAATAAATATTACTCTAGTCAGTCTATTGTATCTGTGTACCAAGGTGATAAAGGAACTGCTTAATTTTATCTAATGTTGAAGGGTAACTAGTAGTCGAAACTGTAAATGCTTTTTAAGTTCCGTTTCTCATATAACCTTTGCTCTTTTCTGATTGATTACAATACTTTCAGTTCGCTAATTAACCATATACTTGAAGATTATGCTTTCGTTACTATAAATATATAGTTGTACTATTTCAGGTTGTTCTGCTGCAATAACGAGTTTCTTCTTCATTTTGTTTTTTTCGTGTTAGCGACCAATAGTTGGAGTTTTGTGTGGCATCTACCACTATCAAGTCGTTAATAGAACCGTTTGTATCAGAATAGATTCATCGTTTTTTAATTCCCCAGTATTGCAGGCCACCTGGAAAGCCCAAGAGATATAATCGTTTTTCTCACAAGTAGACTATTGGATTTTATGAATTAATTAGATCTTATTTTCCTTGCACGCATCCCACTTCTGATTCGTGTTACATGCTACTTATACCTGTCAACCTAAGAAGCATACACCATATATATATATATATATATATATATATATATATATATATATATATATATATATATATATCGATGAAACAAGTTACGAAAAGTAACTTTTTAAGAGCCAATCTATAATTTACTAATAAAACGCATTACGTCGATTTAAAAACATTTTTACAACATATTATATTACGTATAGACAAATGCAGATCACATGTGTGCATGATGAAGGAATTTCAAGCACTCACCCAAATATGCACATATAGTAGTTAGCGTAAACGTCGAGGTATATTTTTCAGAATAAATTAAATTTATGTATACCTAGAATATAACTAACTATTATATACATAACTCCTGTATATGAAATTGATTGAAAATAATTCATGTTATCAAGTACCAATATCGAATCATTCTTAAGAAGACTACATTATTTTTCGTTGGACTCATTTACTAAAAAGATGTTTATTAACACAGCTTTGAGCCATACTGTTTGTATGAAGACTTCCTGATGTGGATAATTCATTTATCAGGTTAAAGACTCATGTACTTAACTTCGAGCAACATTCAGTGTGAGGACTAATGGTACTGCGCGGTTGCCTAAAGCAAATTAAGTGTAGGGGGGTGGTTAAAATGAGACTTATTGACTGAAACTCGAACGCCATAACCATTGAGCTACCGACCAACTTTTTGGAGTGAGAAAGACAGTAATACTGATTAAGCTGTCCAAACCTAAGTACCTGAAGTGATGCTTTAAACATATAGTCAACTAACCGAAAGCTTCATGCTCCAACTACTAAGACATCGCACCACAAATACTAATAATAATCACTACTTGAGACATGAAGAATACCATACAATTCGGCATATTTGTGTATATATAATCAAGAATTCAAAAACATAACTTCTGGATTCCCGCTTAAATAAACATATTATCAAACCATGAAATAAACACTTTACAGTTAATTAATATCAAAAATAAAGTGACGTGAATTTTTAATACCAAAGTTAATCAACTCTAATAGCAATAATATTTCCAGTCCATAAAAAATATGAAATTTTTATCATTCATTAGATTACGTAAATTTGGTTTGGATTTTTCCCTTGGAGAACTTACTTTTCGAGTTATTTTATCAAATTCAGTTCGACCGAAATTCAGTAGATCATTTAATCCACCAGAACGTTTCGGGATGGAAACATGGTCAATAATATCTTCAAAATCATCTGGTGGAATAAACGCCATATCTGAATTTAAAACTGCTACACGTGATTCGAAAAACTAAAAATTTTAAAATATGAAGAAAAAAAAACAAAGCATTATTTTTCAATTTTAACGATTATGTTAAAAATGTTGGGGTAAAAGTTAAATGTTATTCGGTACTCAGATAACATTTCTGCTATAACGGGATAAGTATTTAACATTTAGAATTGTACTATATCAAGTAAATATGTATATTTTTGTTGTACAATTACCAAATACCTAAATTATTGTACTTTTGTATTCCTCTACTTACAAGCTTCCTCGTGAAGCATAAACTGTGATTATGTGATGTACCTTTCTTAAGTTACTGTTACTTTGTGACGGACCCATTACTCAGTCTTTTTCCATCAACAGCATAGTTATGTCGGTATTGTAAATTCTTAATTACATTGATGTGTGGTCAGGATCTTACTCTATATTGTTGTATGAGCGATTCATAAATTCGAACTATATAGTTAGAAGTTGTCTACTTGTGGTATTGTGTTCTATTCTAGCCGCCGGGTGAGTGAGTGAGTGTAGAAAACTGTTTTTTGGACTAACAGTCATAAAGTATTATTTTTGGCCGTTATTTCACTAAAGTCGTGTCGTTCATCAGCCGGTCATTAGTGATTAGATAAAGTCTGGGCGATCTAATCAATGCTCGGACAAGATCAATACAACTGCTCTCTTGTTTCTTACTGCACGACCACGTGAGACTCAAAAATAAATTACAAGAAATATGATTGTTTTTATCGTCACATCAATTGTATTACAATAAACAGTGTATTAGAGTACATTTGTGAAAACCATAATGGAATTAGTCTGTTTTAGTTTAGGAATCCGCAGGCAATGGAAGATAGCCACGCAATATCGAGAGCTGATTGAAGTTAGGTGCGTACACAGTGGTGTGGAGGTTAGGCGTTTATGAGAGAAACTGAAATTCACGGGTTCGATCCCCAGTGGGGTTGTGAATGCATATTCCTGAAGAGCTCTACGCTAGGACTCAACAGCTGTCCACTTCTTTCTGATTTACAATGTTGATTTAGCTAAGATCAGTTTATGATTCGAACAACAAAAATAATAACAATGATCAAACATCGTAAGACCTATGGAATATGAATGGACGGTTAAGAATAGGTCATACGCATAGGTAGCACAGAAGTATAAATGAGAGAGGCATGATCTTGCTCCGTTTCTAAAAATTACTCAGGACTTAGTATATAACTGAAAATCTTCCTGTTTATTCATATAATGTTCATTGTTTATCAAATCAGTCAGTCAGCTGCAACGTAGGACCAGGCACGTATATGCATCGGTCCAAGTTGTCATACCGCATTAGCACAACAAGATGAACACTGGATTCATAGGAGTAGTTAATTCAGTGGTGGTAATATATAGAAGAAAGATTGTGTATAAGGAGATAGTACAGGAAAAAAGAATTAGTTCCTAGAAAGAAAGATATGAAGCGATTTTAATCTCTTAATTTAAGGAAGACAGAGAGTGCATACACCTACGCCATTGTGATCGATTCTGAGCCATGTTTATCAAATAGGGAAGAATGAAGCTAATAATGGACACTACAAAGTCTAGGGGTCAATAACTTTGTAGATTGATGTCAAATTCTTGTTTGACTGCTACCAATATTATTTTGGTCTGCTCTTGTGTTGTCCAACATTTCTCATCAGAGTAGATGGTCGTCTAGTATGAGTAATACATCTCTAACCTTTGGTTGATAGTCGAATGAATAAACAACTAAACGACAAACTCAACGTATGATTTATCTCAAAGTTATCAGTGATAGACTGATGTGTCTATCTTCAGATGGTTTATTGTTACAATCACTGAACAAGCCTATTTGGCAGTCTTGAAATAACTTTTCATCATAATCCACAAGTTCGTCTATAAACAATGAACTTGCACAACTTTAATTGGCTGAGAAATGGAGTTGACTGAAATACTCGTTAAAAGGATTCCCCGAATACGTTACAATATAAATTACATAAAAAACGTTATCTCTCGAACTGATACAGGGGTTCAGTTAATCTTATATAACATTATTTATTATGAATAAAATAAACCAACTTCAAGGGTACCAGATCAGACCTAAATAAATGAGTAAAATGTTTGTGACAAAAGATATATGTTGACAGGAAATATTCGGACAATCGATTAGAACTTACACATATTACACTAATAGTATGGCTGACTTATTAAAAATGGAGTACGTAAAACTCAGGACTACAGATTCAATTTAATTATAACAGTTTTGATAGTTGAATAAATTTACGAAAGAAAAGATACAAAATTATATGGCTGATTACTAATCGATTTGAAGTAATCAACAAACTGAAAATAATTCATATTTCTAACTGAACAACAAAAATCAGCCAATACATTAGTCATTAATTATTCACACTAGAAAATCAAATATAACATTCAGTATATCAACGAAATAATTTATGAGTATCTATAAGTGTTAAGACAAAGGAGATACAGTTTGTTAGATAAGTAGGTTGTATTATACATAACTGAATGACTGGCATTTTGAATATTAATGATGTCAAATAAACAAACAACCAAACTTACATATGCTTAATGTATTTACACTTTGTAGAATATGTGCACATCGATTAATAATTATATATATATATATATATATATATATATATATATATATATATATATATATGACAGACTCCCAAAAATCATTGTAAGTACTGATCTTGACTAGACAACCATTGAAAACTAAGACGCACTGAACATTTTTTGGTCCAAGCATAAGACTCTGTTTCTTATTTCGCCTGGGCAGCATCCATTGTGGTTATCAAGAAGGTTAATGGCACAACCCGAATATGCGAAAATTTTCCACAGGTCTTAACACAGCTCTCGAACAGCATTATTACCCACTGCTAGTCCCTGCAGATTTATTGATCATGCTAAATGGTGGGACGTTCTTTGCAAAGCTGCATCTAGCCGATACCTATTTACAAGTGGAAGTGGCTGAGGATTCCAGAGAGCTACTCACCATCAATACTCATCGTGGCTTGTTTCAGTATAATCGTCTGCCGTTCGGAGTTAAACCGCCCCATCTATTTTTCAGCAACTAATGGATACCATTCTATAGGGTATCCCGGGGGTCGCAACTTATCTTGATGACATCTTAATTGTTGCCACATTGTTAGAACAGCTTCAAAAACGCACGACAGCTGTACTACAACGCATCAGCAACAACGGATTCCAATTACGCCCAGAAAAATGCCATCTTTTCTTGAAATCAGTAAAATATTTGGGATTCATCTTAGATGCTGCAGGTCGCAGACCATACGCTGAAAACATTCGAGCCATAAAAGGGATGCCCACTCTTACAAATGTCTCCGCTCTCCGATCATTCCTTGGATTGGTTAGTTACTATTCAGCTTTCGTTCCGTCGATGCATGACATACGCGCCCCGCTAAATTATCTTCTGAATACTAGCTGGAGCTGGACAAAAGAATGTGAAGCTGCATTTTGCAGGCTGAAAACAACCATATGCTCTGGACTATTACTGACGCAGTACGATCCGTTCATGCCAATCATTGTAGCTGTAGACGCTTCAGCCTTTGACTCAGTGCTGTCATCTCACACCAGTTCCCGGACGCAACAGAGAAAGCTATCATGCATACACCTCGCACACTGGCTCCAGAGGAAAGTACAGCCAAATAGAGAAAGACGCTCTCACCCTTGTGTAGCTAATTAAAAATAAAATTATCACTTTCACGTCACATAAAGTTATTTGTTGTGAAATGGACGAATATCAAGAGCTATGTGATGGAAAACCCATCGTTTCCTGAACACTCTACTTAAATCAAAAAAGATTTTTTTGATTTTCGTTTTTAATTTAAAAATAGAACACGTGCCATTTCATCAGGAACCATGAATGAGTGATTCTCTAAGGGATATCCTAAAAATAGTTTATATGCGTTCACATTTTTCTCCATGTTTCATCGTTGCTTAGGAGTAGGGAATAGGTCTATTGAATTTTTTGTCATTTCAGCAGTAGCGCGAATGAATTGAGTTATTGGAAGGCACAGCACAAGCTTAATTTGTTAGGTTTGAAGCGATTACGAGTTCATTTAGTCTGCGAACGGAACAAAGACTTGTGACCAAAGACCAATTAACTAGCTATTCTGTTCGTCTCAGACCCGCTAACTAGAGAGAGAAGTCGAAGTCCGAATGGGGAAGTATATTCCGCAAAAAGCCAAAAACACAAGCGATAATAACAGACACAAATCAAACGTATATATACAGCATAAAACTGACCTCGGGAAACGTTACAAAAAAGTATATTAAAATACACAACGGACCAATAGCATTAAAGATTCTCCCAAGGGGGAAATACGGCATGAAGGTGAAAAGAGCGCTTTTGGCGCGAAGACAAATAAATTCAAATTTTCGAAATGAAATAACAAAATTAAGGCATTTACTAAGTGAGTTTCTGAGGATCTAATATCCCCAACACCTCCCCTTTTTAACAACTTACGTTTCTGGAGTCCAGTTGCATTTTGATGGTTTGTCGCCGTTGTCGGAGTGGCCACCTTCCGGGTCGTAGATGTGCTTTTTCCTGTGTTGGGAAAACTGGGGCTAACCGCTTGCGTATCTGGTTCCGATGTCAAGTCCACCTGTCTCTTCCTACCTCTACCTCGTACATGACATGGCCTAATTTTCCGACGACATGTGCTTCCGTCCAGGGACCATCATTTGTTCTGTGGTCCCGGACACCCAATCTCGTACGTTGGCAGCTCGACATAGAAACCAGCTACGCAAGCGGTTAGCCCCAGTTTTCCCATCGACAGAAGGAAATCTCCCTCTTGACATCCTATTAGATACTTTTAGTCTACCGGCAGTCCCAAGACAGGAAAAAGAAAATCTTTTTTGATTTAAGTAGAATGTTCAGGAAACGATGGGTTTTCCATTACATAGCTCTTGATATTCGTCCATTTCACAACAAATAACTTTATGTGACGTGAAAGTGATAATTTTATTTTTAATTAGCTACACAACAGTTTATTTTCACAAATCGATAAAATTCAACACACGCCCATAATCTTATTTGAGTACACATTATTTCTTTACCTTTCAGTTCTACTGAGTGTCAATGTTTCGGCGTCTCCGCTAAATAACAGATATATAGGTGTATATAGAGTATAAACAATTAAACGTTTACCAGATCAACTCACTTGTATCACCATCTGAGAATTTAAAAGTTCTGTAAGATATGGCTGTAATTCATGACCACAAGAAATGACAAATGCAGCACGATTGAAAAACCATCCACCTATACGAGGTTGATCAAATTTATCTTGTGATCGACTTTCATCATTTGGTGATTGTATTGGTAAAAGATCGACAGATGAAGAAGCTTCATTATGCTGCAGTGCCGATCGATAACGACCTATTTAAGAAAATACAAGGAAGATGCAGTAAATTAATAATGATAGTCAGATTAAAAATTCGCTTACAATAAGAAAGTGGTATCGATTTCCACAAATCTGATTTCAAAACAAACTGTCAGATGGTAACGATTAGAAATATTGTCTTAACTAACAGACTCAACAGGAATAAACCAATCTTTGCGAACATATGTAACTGTCGGAAAGCTTAGCCAGTCTAAAATTTTAGTGCAAACTTCATATCATTTATGGAGTAATTTGGTACCTTTTTATGGATATTATCTAAAATAAATGAGGACAGGTATACAACGCTCTTAGTAACTAGTAGCTTGACAAATGTGAAAACAGTAAATTTATGATATTAAAAACAAACGAATTGGAACTGGACAACTTTAGTTAGACAATAATGACAGCATACATTATCATTGGTAGAACCGAATACACGCCGATTGTAATACGGTGCCTTTTTAAAAATGTTGGATACACTCTAAAGCCTCATGTATTTACCTATATTTGCGTGCATGTGATGGATTGTACAAGCTTCAATCTTGTGGTCACAGATGTGTATGAACAAATCTACTCAAACTCTTGTTACAATTTGATCAAATAGTCTTACGAATATGTGACTATTTCTCTGATGAGGTGCAAAAACTAGTTTTATATGAAACAAATTGAGTTATATAAAAATATAATCACTATCTGAATTAAATAAATATCTGACACGACTTCTTCAAGAATCGATGCTTTAATAACCTCATAATTGATACAAGTTTTCTGGTTATATTGTGGATGAATACAATGAGTGATGTGCTTTTCTAATAATTGCAGTTTCTTTATTTTTTTGTAAGTAGACTTAATTTACTATGAAATAGTTTTTAGTTACGAAGCAAAAAATAGTAACCTTACCAAGAAGAATAGCCATCAGTTCTAAGTATGGTCGAGCTAGAAGTAAGGCAGCAGTTGAAGCAACATTTTCTGTTGAGCGTATATGCCGTAAAATTGCACTGTGTGAGGCATTACACCGTTTAATCAACCAATGACGCTGAGAAAATGAGAAAGTATAGAATAAAACAAGGATCATTAACAGCGGAAGTTTACAATGTCATTGAATAATCTTGAAACTAATTTTTAAGACTGAAATAATGTGAACGAAAAAACAACAAAAATAAGATTGCATGAGTATAAAAAAGTCACAGCCATCAATGTAAACCTAAATTACTTGTAATATCATCGGTAAATTTTCTTGCTTCCATGTCAATATTAAATAAGAATCTTGATTCATCATTAAAAAAATTAAAACTAATTAGAAAGGAAATAAACGTCTATTTCAAACAATTTCATCTTTCATGCAATTAGTTCCCTTTATTTAAATTTCATATTTACAGTACGGTACTTACATATTTGATGGTAGTATCTTGTTGATAAGAATAACCGTAACAAACTTATTACCAACTAAGTTTGAAGCCTATGTTAATTTAATTGCAGTTATTTACTTGCTCTGAAGAAGATGCCTACATTAGGTCACGAAACGTTGGAGATATAACTTTTCTATCCATTCTGATATAAAAATAAATATTCCACACTAACTAATCCAACTTTGGTATTAGTGCCTATAAAGTTTTCGGAACATTTTTGCATGATATTGAGATTAACTCTTTTTCTAAGATTGAACTTCCATAGTTAAACGCCTGTGTTAAATTAAGAGATACCCAATGATTTAACTACACACGTGCTACCAACCTAAGGCAAAAAAGCAATAACATACGGATTTTTCCTCAACTTTTACCAATTGGAATGAAAGTTTTTGAACACCACATATATAAACTATGAATTGATATGTATGAAGCTATTGGCTGGTGAAGTGGGTACAGACTCCGTGGTGGGGTTCCGCAAAATAGTCATTATATATGGTTGAGGACCAGTAACAACGTTTATTTTCACGAACTTTCAGATAAATCAGTTTGTCTGAACAGTAAAGTACTCTTCAGGTAATTTAGTTAGTATGTGAGAACACCTAACTAATGGTTGGAGATGTTTAGCGATATGATTTAAAATTGAGGTATAGATTTGTTTACTACGCATGTTTTCTAAATTGTCGAATATTGCATATTTATTCTGTCTTCATTCCTTGATTTTATCTGTTTCTTTAACCTAAGTTCCCTACTGCTTCCTAAATTGATGTTTTTAATTCTTTTTATTTCTCATGCTGACTTTTTCTTGATAAAATGATGTGAAGTGTGAAGGCTGAAACCGACATGCATTCCTGTTAAGTCCTAGTTAAACTTTTGTGTCGGTTACCTAAACTTTATATCAATGAACGTATATATATCTTATAAGCATTAGAAGGATTTCAAACACTCCATGCAATGTGCTAACAATAAACTATACTTTACCAAGATTCGCATCTAATAAACATTTTTTTATCTGCCTGCTTCTAAGTAAACCAAAACGCTTCTGCGCATTAGATCAATTGCCTGATGAATCCATGTGAATTTTATAATAAGGCATAATACGTCAAAATGATTATTTTTAGTGCAAATAGGTGAGAATCAATATGTAAAAACACCAGTATAAATATATTAAACATACTAAAACAGACGGCATGGTTATTCCTACATCCCCTGTTCCATATACAACATCATGATCCAAATCCACAAGTCGAACTCCAGGAATTAACAATGGTTTCATCTTCTATATAAATAAAATGCAGAACTTTTTAAAAAATTAAAGACTTACATTGAAACCATGAACCGATCAACATTAGACCACAATTAGAAACTTGGAAGCACTGGACGGCCGTTCCGTCCTAGTGTGGGACTCCCCGACATAGCATCTATGATCCCGCATACGGGATTCTAACCCGGGGTCTTCGGTTTCGAGTGCGAGCGCTTAACCTACAGACCATTGAGCTGGCGTCCAATTATGTTAATCCGTAACTTCACTCAATCCAAGGTATTGCACGACTATTTTCTGTTGTCTTCAGTAGGTAATTGCCTCACACGACACGGTTGAACACCATTGGTCTCGGCTCCTAACTATAGGTCCGAGAATCACTTCTCGAAGCTAGTCACTAGTGAGCACATGATATCTTTCAGTATGGGGTTGTAAAGATTGTTGAGTTTCATTGAAATCAGTTCAGTGCTTCCGAGTTCCCAATGGTAGTCTAACATTGATCGATTCATAGTTTCAATGGAATTCAACAATCTTCACAATCCCTTGCTGACAATTGGGCACATAATCTGAAATGCAGAACTAAACAAACCTCTTTTAAACATGAGTGAACACCAGCAACAAATGGGGTCGGACAGCTTCAAAAGAAAAAGAAGATCTAGATTCCAAGTTTTGACGTTACTTACTTACCCAACATATTCAATACAATTGGAAGGTAGCAGAGAATAAATTAAATGAGGCCTGATTATATGCAAGTAAAAACAAGTTAGTCAGAATTAGAAATACCATATCAGTGGGTACAACAAACTTAGACTGGCCAAAAGACAGGAAGTAATACGCTGTAAACGACTTGAGTAGAATATTACACTTTTCTCCAAAATTAAGCTAGATATAGGAAGTAACAGAGAAATTTTTATTAATTAACTAAACTATACAATGTCTCACCTTTCAAATATTACAATCCAATTGCCGATAGACAATGTATTATAATACTCTAAAATATGTCTCTAAAATTTTGCGAAATAATGACAATCACCAGTTACATGATAAACAAACTGAAACTGTGCTTCCGGGAGTTGTACACTTAATTTCTGTTTGGATAAATTGGTTTAAAAGATAGAATGTGAGCAGTACCGTCGAATTTGGAGGTGATGAAATGTTAAGTGTCGCAACACCAGAATGATAATGCAATTCCTTTAAAATTACTTCAATATTACGTCGGTTTTCTTCTCTGTATAAATGTTCTTGATTAATCAGAGTTATGATTGAGTGCAAAAGTTCAAAATAAGGAAAACAACTAAAATTATCATAAAAAATTTAGACTATAAAAATAAGTGTGATGAAAATATTACCTACTAACGCACACAATATATCCGGAAATAGGTAAAGTAATACAGACGAAAAATTCTACAGTTCCATCGCTATCCGTGAATATAAGTGTATACTCTTCCGAAATAAGACTGTTAAAACAAGATAACTATGGAAGGTAAATATAACTGACCTCTTATGTTTACATGGGAGAACAAAATTTCGCAACTTATGAAAGTGAGAATTTTCGTTTTTAACAGATGGATAGACATATTCAACTACAGGATCTAAAAACTGTCGAACAAATTATTCGATAACCAACCACCGTTATTACTATCCAAATGGAAAATGACAATATGTTCTATTAGTTTATTAGTTTTTCTGAAAGTGGAGGAATGTGTAATAAAGCACTGACAAATAATATATTACCTTAGACGATTCCAGAACATATTCAGTATTTAGTTTTACATTGAATAAGCCATTATTCCGATTCAAGTTGCTAATATAAATCCTAAACGAAAACACAGAGCACAAAATTCATAGACATAGAAAAAATCAAGACACAAAAAAAAACCCAAAAAAATATCAACAAGCAACGGAATTGTGGCTTATTTTATCACAGTAAATGACAGAAAATTCCCGTCAAGCCCAGTTAAAAAAGGAAGTGTTGTGCCCAATGCACCTGCTAATAAGAAAAATATAAATACGTATGATCTAGTTACTTAAGTCATACAATAAGAATAAATATATAATTGCAGTTCATAAGTAGTTCTTAACAATTACCGTTTATTCTTCGTTAGGATATAACAGATGATGATAGCGCTTTAGTAGTTATATTGGCTGATATGTTAGCTTGAACTTGTGGTCTTAAAACAACGCTGTCACTGTTTATCTCAGTTTGTGAGAAAGAACAAAAAAAATTTTGTGATAAACAGAGCCATAGACTAGACAATAAATAACAGCATCTAAAGTTTCTCAACACGAGCTACCAATTTTGGGGAAGCTGCTTTAGTAAACTTTGAGGAAATAGCACAAAAACTCGAAATATTCCCCAGAACTGAAGAAATTTCGCAATATTTCCTCTTTAACCTTGGTGAGGGTCATCGGAATTTGAGAGTTTCCCCAAAATTTCCTCAAACTTGGGAGCTCAGGCAATACTTAATCGGAGTTCACGAAGATCGAAATCGGGAACATTATGGTGGCCTCAGGTATGAGAGCAAATAAAAAAGTCAAAAATAAGTCATTCGTTAGATTTCGGAACACATATGTGCTTACAGACACTTGGAAATTAGGAAACCAACGGTACTATTGATTGCAATAAACAGTAGGCCAACGATGGTTTTAAAAAGACCAGAGAAAATATGAATGAGTAGTTCCAGTGTTAAAAGTCATAGACTTTTACTGACCTTCATGGATATAAACAAATATTAGACAGAAAGTGTAATGACAAGGAACACCACAACATGTATTTAACAAGCCGTGAACTAAGAGTTAGTAAGATAATAGCACAACCAAAAGCTCTATTATTGTTGACAAATTAGTACTTTGATTGACTACTTACATAAGGAGTTCATTGATAACACGACCTAGAGAGCATTTTGTCCTAACGTAAGACTTAGATTTTGCGCCATAACATACAGATAACTTCAGCCTTGGATTAGACGCGCTATCTAAAAAGGACATCATATTTCATAGCATTGAACGTTGAATTAAACATCAGAATTACAGTTTTTGCTCTAATTGAACTTATTTCACTTAAAGTATTCCCCAAGAGTTTCGCTTTTTTCAACAGTAGTTCATCATCTATACCTCACAAGGACAGATACAAAAAAAACGTACAAATAATGAGAGTGATTTTATCGTACGGATATGTTGTGGTAGGTTATTCCAGAGTCTAGAAAATTTACAGGCAAAGTAATTTATATAAAGAGATGATTTAGAATAAGTTTGTTTCACAAGTGCAAAGGAATTACGGGTTTCATAATGAGGAGTATCTGCATATTGAATTACATGATTGGATGTAAATGATAGTTTATTAAGTAGTTTTAAGAAAAAAATAAGATTTAGTTTGAGTCTCCTCTTCCATAAAGGGTCTAGCTCTAGTTTTTTACATCTAGAATTGTAAGTTAAGGAACAATCAGCTCCAAGAATATGAAATGTAAATCGTCTCTGTACTGATTCCAGCCTTAATTTATCCTTTATGCTTAAGGGCATTTATAGCCATATTAATTTTCTTACATGTGAAGGAGATAGATTTTATGGAGTTGCTGGTCACGCACGTAACTCTTGAAGCAGAGCCACTTGTGGTTCCTACATCATTCGCAAAAGTACCACTGAAAAGGTCTGCCTTAGTTTTAGAGTCGTATATAAAAGTGTTATTATGCTGGATGCATGGTATATCAATATTCTGAGTTACTTTACCGCGTTTATTGAGAAGTAGAGTTAAGTTTTGTACTTTTGAGTTACTATTAAGTGCTAGGAACTCCTCATTAATGGCTTTTAACCTATATGTCTCTTTAATTTGATTAAAAATTATTGTTATTTGCGCAGCTGCCGTGAAGTCGTTTGACTTGAAATAACGATTCTGTAGGCGTCTTAGTTTATTATGATATTTAGCTGGTATATATAATTCGTAAGGTTTAATAAACCTGTACGTTTTAAGAGGTACAGAAGAATCTAAACAAGAGTTAACGATCAAATAGAATTCGTCGATAGTATCTATGAGATTAGTACATGAAAAAAAGTTATCCCAGTCTGAAAGTTTAATCAGTGAATGCAGGAGGTCCCAGTCGGCATGCTTAAAGTCTCTATATTGACAGGTTTTTTGAATGGGTCGGTTAGAAGAGGGATATATAGGGAGAGCGCATACTACTGTCTTATGGTCACTGCTTTCAAATTCATCGTATACTTTTACAGACAGTGGGATAATGTCTCTACTAAATATTAGATCGAGTATACTATCACCTCTAGTTGAGGTACGAACCCACTGTGACCAACAGTGCATTTTAATGCTTGCCGAAAACTCCTCATTACATGACTGACAGCTACCGGTACTCCAGTTAATCCCAGGATAATTGAAATCACCAGTGATAACCTTAGCATTAAAGTTTAGAGCAGATGCATGTATGAATGCATTGATAATAAGATTATTCCCATTATTTAAGCTATCAGGAGCTCTGTATATACATCCAAGGAGTAGACTATGATTCAGGGTGTTGACAGATATCCAGACTGATTCTGGTAAACTATTCAGGACACTATCTTCAACTCTATTAGTTGTTAGGGTATCCAAAGCATATATAATACAACCACCTCCTCGCTTAGTTTCTCTGTCACAGCGATAGAGTCTATAGTTTTGGATATTTAATTCTGAATCAGATACTGCATGAGAGCACCATGTTTCAGTGATAAGTATGAAAGAAGGCTTGGATAGAAAGGCTAATGTTCTCAAGGCTGAAATTTTGTTCAGAAGTGAACGTGCATTGATAAGTAATAGATTTAGAAAGGGCGTATGGAGTGTAAAAAAACCGAGAGCTTCCCTATTGATGTCGTGTATTTTGGATTTGCATAGACTGTGGTTTATTATGTTTGACTGATCACATGGGCGATCGCTTGAGCAAATTGTAGTGCTAGTGTGACCAGGGATTTCTGAAGGCCAAAAAAATCATTATTTTGATAAAGCGGATTAATTTGTTGAACTTGACTAGGCGGACAGTTAAGACAAGGTTGGGTTGATGGTGAGTAACCCAGTAATCCATCTTGCCCAATCGGAAAGTGTTGAGAAAAGTTACGTGTTACTGGTATATTATTTAAAAAGTTTTAGGGTACTCGTGAGGCTCGTTGGTTTACTGTGGTCTGTCCAGTATTAGGCCTACTTACATAATGATTGAAGTGAGACATTTGAACCAGGTCTGCCCTTATATCCTCCCCTACGATGCGTTGGGTAAAGCATGGAGTCGGGAAGTATAGTCTTATTTGTATTGAGTAGGGCCATCGTAATACTTTTATTATTGGGTCTAGAACCAGAAGGTTCTGTACAAACATTCTTCTTACGTGGCATAGACTTTTTAATCTTGACAGTGTTTTTAAGAGCTGTCGCATTAGGACTAGGTATTTGCTTATGGGCTTCTAATGGTAAATTGGATACTATCGCATTAGTGTAATCAGTAGATGTATATTGCTTATCAGATGTCACTACTGGCATAATAGGTAAGTTAGCACTCTTCGTTGGCAGATCAGAGTACTGGAGAACATGAGATAGGGTATCAGTATCAGTGGATCCAGCAGCTGATGCGTCGTGATTTTTTATGATCTCAACATCTATATTTTCGTTCAAGGTACGCTTTTGCGTAAGTCTTTGATTGGTGGTCTTATTTGAGACTATGCGAGCGTTTCTAAACTTCGTAAGCGCGCATATCAGCCGCTCAGATTCTTTTAACTGTTCAGCTAATATATGAGAATCAAACCTGAACAAGACCGGGCACGAGTAATTCTGGTGCTTCTAAGTAAGTCGGATGCATTAGCATGGACTGTCTTGAAGGTTAGATGCTTTTAATATCGAATTCCTTACAGTTTTAATGGGGACTTTGTCAGGTATATTATAGACAATCACGTTATTACGAGAGACTATTCGCTTGGTAACTTCACTAGCGATAAAATCAATAACAGATTCTGTCATCAAGTTCCGCAGGAACGATGTCTTTTGACAAAAGCAGTTTTAAGGGTGATAGTGTCTTTAGTTCTTGCTTAAGATCTTCATGCTTTGATAAAGAGCTAGAAAGTGACTTGACTTTAGAACGCATGTCGCTTAGTTGCTTAAACAGAGTGTTTAATTCACTCTTCATATCATCGATCCTTTTTGATCTTGAGGTGGAACTCATTACTAAATTAGAAACAGAGTCATCCAGCAGCACGTGTGGTGTAAGACCAGTCCCAACATTATCAGATACAAAAGGAGTAGTGGAACAAGAAGAATAGGTAATAACAGAATTGTTAATTTCTGAAGAGTTAGGACTTTTCCGTGCTCGTTTATTTGACAGTCGACCCATATTGCTTAAAGAATGAATTCTACAGCTATGTATGAGTTATAAACTAGAACTCAACGATATACAATCAATATATATTAGATAGTGATATCGTAACTCAAACTTCAAACGTCCATCAATAAAACTCACACTTGAAGTTGAAGACAAACAAAATATTCACTTTCTAGATGTGGAAATGACAAGAAAGCAAGATGGTACTTTAAAAAGATCTATCTACAGGAAACCCATGTGGAATGGCCAACTATCAAGTTTCCACAGCTGGGTTCCCATCAGCTGAAAAAGAAACCTTATAATAACACTTGCTACAAGAATACGAAGAATCTGTAGCCCAGAAGTCATAGATGAAGAATTGGGCCTTTTAAAAGAGATACTATGATAATTAGGAGTAATTGAATTATAGTATGAACTAAGAATCCCAGAAATAACGCAATTGAATCAAGAAGCACTACACAAGCACTAAGGAATGTGTTGTATTTAGAATTAGAAATCAAGCATTCAACCAGTACAAAGGAATCATTAGTTCATTCAAACATCATATCCGCCACAACTTAAATCGGAGTCCAGGTGTCTGTAATTGATTGCACGGCTTCTTCTTAAGTTCATACTGTGTCTGTCCGATAGTGTATTGGATAGACTCTGTATTATCTAGGATGCACTCATTAGTATTAGAGTTAACAACCGAAATCGGGACAGACTCACATGCTTCCTGAGATTGTGTACAATCACCATGTCAGTTGAGTACTTAAACTACTGCTACCTAGAATTTCAACCATCGACATTCAGACTATCCTCCCCTAAGAAATAATGTCGGATCTTCATACCCCCAAGTTATGAATAATGTGGCTTCATTTAAAACATCTTTCTCAATTTGACTGGAGTAAACATTGGAAGTGAATTTATGATAAGGACAAACAACAGTTGATATGGAATTATCTGAATTGTAGTCAAACTCTAACTCATTTAATACTCGTGCTTCGCATCGAACGAGTTTCTCACAAGAAACAAATGCATCATGAGGACAAATAATATTTGATATGACATCAAGATTCGATTCTTCTGAAATAGTTTCCTCGAATTTATTAAGAATGTCATTGCAGAGTAAATGATCGTTAGAAAAATCAGCATCTATCAAAACTACATCAGTTTTTTTATCATCATTAGGTTCATTCGAAATATTTTCACCAGATTTGTAAGAAATTTCATCAGAAATATGTGAATCATTAGGAAAAATTATATCTGGTACAATAACATGGGAAATCTGATATGTTGATTCATTAGAAATTGTTTTCTCGCAAGGATTCTGAGTTTCATTTAACTCTGAACTGCTACATGACTCTAAACTGTCTTTTGAAATCGTCGATAAAGATAAATGATCATAATAAATATTTAAATTAATAGAATCAGAATCACAAGACTTAATATTAGTTGCAGCAAGATGAACAGTAGTATTACAAACTGACTGAATATGTCCGACATCACCACATTTAAAGCACTTTCGATTACGAAATTTACATGAATTAAAAGGGTGGAACTTGCCACAAGAAAAACATTGACTAAACTTGTGCCCATCTTCGTGAACTACACAACCTTGAGTAT